ATACTTGTATAAAATGTCACCCTATCCATAGTCGATGACTCGACTATAAGCCATTGTCTGATGGTGTCTTTCTCTTTGATCGTGTCCTATCATTAAAAAGGATACGTGATTATGATCAGATGACGAGGGAGAGCTGGCATTGAACGGGATATTTTATATTCTGAGCTGGTTAGTTGGTTCAAAAGGCGTCACAAGTTGTTGAGATGATTATGATTACAATGATGATAGGAGAGAGAGAGAGAGAGAGAGGAGGCAGTGAAGAAGTTGTATCCACGGTCAATTCTTTTCATGCACGTATTCGACTGATGCTACGTAGTCTTTTCCTTCGAAATGGTGACAGTTTTGATATTTGGATTGTCGACGACGATAATGCATATCATCATCATCCTACTTGGGTGGATTGTGTTGCGTTGCTGTTTCACTCCCATGGCCAGATCTCGCTTTATCATGTTCGTAGATTTGAATTCCGTCGAAGCTGGCGAATATTGCAGCGAGTAAAGGCGAGTGAGATGAAATATATGGGAATTGGGTTTGAGTTGGACTATCTCTTGTCTCATCTTGGCGTACAATTGACATAATGTGACACTTTCTCGTCGTAGTCCATTTTATGACGTGTCATCTCTCAAAAGAGCTTTTTGCTGGACTTCTCCACCTCAACAAGCGTCTTCTCTTTTCAATGTGCTCACCAACTTTATATGGTACTCAACTGCTCACTTATTCTCAAACACACACAAGTTAAATCATGTGCACGTTCACATCACAATAAAGAACGTAGACAAAAGGGGAAGACACGACAGGACAACTTTTTTTGCCATAATCAAAAATCACATTAAACCCTTTTGTTATTGACAAGGATTGACTCTAGTGTCCGTAGAATCATCTAAAGAGACAGTAGCAGGACCAAACCAAAGTGAGAAAACTCGTGTATGCTGTACCTTATCTTATCCTCCTCTCGTTTCTGTTAAAATAAAGGAGTGTACGGTACCGACATACCCTTAAATTCAAGGGAATGTGACAAAATTACAAAAAAGTTTTGAAACAAAAACTTTCGTAAATAGTGTACTAACTTTATTTAACGTTTTTCCTTTCTTATTAATAGAGGAATATTAACTTCAGTAATAAATGCTGGATATTATATAAGTACTGGAGAACATTTTTTTCAAATCAGGGTGCATACTTATACAATGCCAAAATAGATTTGAGTTCGAACGCTTGTTGCGATGTATAAATCATTAGGATTAGAATCTCGAACTCCAAGATCAGGGTGTTGTCAATACTGATTTTATAAAGTTTAAAGTGTGGGAACTTATAATAAATGATTGTATTTATTCTCCCGACAAATATATGTAGACTGTAATTATCTAACAATGAATGCGCAAACCATGTTCAACTCACGATCTTTTTGATACCCACACAGTTAACTCTTCATAAACAAATTCTTCATACGTTTGCACTTCTTACATTGTAGCGCGAGTTAAAAATTATGTTTTAAAAGTCGGGTTATACCGACATCAGTATAAAACAGACTTTGATTACATATTTTTACCACATCTTCCTTAGATGAAGTATTATTTCGATCCATTATCTATCAGTGACAATTTAGCTCTTGAGAACAAGGAATATATACATATGTGTATATTGACCCCAGTATCAGTAGTTTATGCAATGCAATTGTGTTAAAAAGAGATATATCTGTAAATACAAGGTCCTTTGGTTCCTTTGGTTTTCATGGGTTGTGTCATATCGAAGTTACGTTATCTGGGCACCCGGTCTCTGCACTCCACATGAATGGGAAAAATTTTAAATGAAAAATTAAGGGATACGCCTTTTGGGGTTAACCACATTCTTGAATTGAAACATTGTAATCGGAAATGAAATGAAGTGCATTCTTATATTTATCAAGAATAGCGAGCCCAGGTGAGGCGAGACTGTGAGGTTGAGTCTGGTTGAGTGTGAGATTGACCCATATTATCACGTACGCCAGTTTTGAGGTAAGGTTTGGTTTGGGTTATGAGAATCTCAAATAACCTCCGTTACTTATTTACACGCTGGTTATGTTGTCGTGTCGTTGATAATAGTGATTACCAACACAAAAGAAAGAGTCGAATTTCAATTCAGGGAATGACGCTTTCTTATAATTTGATTAATTCTCATCACTAGCAGTAATATAGACCCAATTTGTCCCAAATGAATTGTAGTGAGATGATAACCCAAGGTTCCTTGCTCAATAGAGAAGAAATAGAGAATAGAATATTGCACAACCACGATGCATACGTGACATTGTGTAGAATTGTTTGTGGGTCCGTTACGGCGATCACAGACTATGAAGTTCCGGTGTAATTCAAAATTAAAAGCAATATTTCCATATGTAGGGTAGCTTTGTAATATGGTATCAAAAATCATATGAGATAAAAGTTCGATTGTGTAGCACGTACATATGTATGTATATTTATAACTTGATAATATCCACGGCCAAGATACAAAGATGCTTCTTATTGTCTTATCGCAATACGTACGTATCTGCATATTTATTATTTTTGTTCTTGACATGTTAGTTAATCACCCATCAATCTGCCTTATTATCATCAACTAATAGTCCCATAAGCAACTGTTATTTTTGGATTACATCGCTCACTCACATTCGAAGACAACGAGTCTTGTTTCGTATGCTTAAACTCAATTAAACACAAATCTCATCAACTTGGTTATAAAGTAATAATAACATTGTCAGTCAAACTAAGACGGATATTTGATCCATTGTTCATCCGCATCTCTGCAATCCTCTTATTGTTTCATACTCGTCATCATATTTCATGTTTCAATTAATCCATAACTGCTTGTTATCGTGCATATGCATACTCGTAACGACTTCTCGGAGCAATGTGTGAATCAAACACCTTTTGGTTGTGATGTATGTATGCATTTGTTGTCTAATATTTTCTACTTTGTTCCATATCACCATATTCACCGTCAGCTAAATAACATGGCAAAATAAGTCTCGTACTTAACGAAATAGGGAGAAGATAAATATCTGAGCTTTCTGCGATGGTGGTAAATAAGTTCTTGGAACCAATGGGCCAGAAAATTCTCTTTTGTTCTTTTTGTCTGGCCAAGTGTCTCGCTTGATTTTGTGGTGGCCCCACTTAATAGCCATTTACTTATTTAACCTGTGTGGTTTTTGTTGACATGGTCAAAACAGAGGCGGTTGTTCTTCAATTCCTGCAACCAAGTGGTGTAATTTAGTACAAAATCTGTTATTACTTGAGACTAGACAAGAAGCGACCGTGACATTTCACTTCATTTCTAGAGTAAGCGTCGGCCAGCTTGGGAAATGTAACATCTTATCCAGATGAAATCTTGCCATAATTTGTTTTTTCTTCTTCTCATCTGCCGCTCGGCATCAGAATAAACAGAACGCGCATCTATCTAGCTGTCCATGTCATCAGGACAGGACAAGTGAACTTTGTTTATTTAAAATGTAAACTGGAGTATTTTAAACACAGTTTTTTGGATGATTTTCATATGTGCATGTGTTGGGAGCTTCCAAAATTGTACTGACTTGACGATTTTATGCATTACTGCTTGTAGATATTCTGATATTCATCAAACTATGTAGCACTTAACAAAAACATGGCAAGTTTACCAACCAGATAAGATCAACCCACTGTGTATGTTTGCAATCAGAAAATAAGTAATTCACATTATGGAGCAGACATGACTGACATGTAAGTAATAAGGAAGGTTGTAATAGTGAAAGAACCAGAAGATGCAGGTGAGAAGGTGGCAGATACATAAATAATAGTTTGCTTTGTTTTACCGTCTGTCACCTCCGGTTCTTTCTCAATTTTTTCACCTCGCTGGCTTATCAATTTTGATAATCTTTCGATTCAGGATAATCATAATCTCGTTTTTTATGTAAGTACGTATGACGTGAATAATCTCCATGAAGTAATTTTCAATCCGTAGATTTTTTATTTGCACACGCATATTGTACGTATGTAGGTATTTTTAGGGCAATCTTGATCTGTTAATTACGTATTATTTTAGGCAAATGAGCACCAGAGGAAGCATACTTTATGACAAATTAAACATTTGCAGTGGTGTTGAATGTACTATAAATAGTCCTTCTAGCCAGCAACAGCGAAGGGAAACAAGATGGTTGTCTCTCCTGCCCTGTCATTTCATCTGTCGTCCTTGTTAGCTTATTTTTATCCCCTTCCCCTCCTTTGTCCTGTTTTTTGTCACTCGCCTCATCGTCATTATATAAATGCTGACTGCACGCACTACAACAGTTGGTTAATCGAAACATTTATTTTGTCGAGTGAGAAAAGGATAGACTTGACTGGAGAGGAATGAAGAAGGGTGACAATCGGGGCTTCGACGTTATTATTACCACCATGAGAGTGCATAATCATTTTGAATGGAACAGCAATATGAGATGACATCCCCCTCTTCCCATCGTCACCTCCTGAATATCTACACCCATCCACTATCCATCCAATGTGTGACTTATTCCACCCAATTTGGTCCTCAACATCGCATTATAACGCATATTATGGAATTCAAGTTTATACTTTTGTTAGTTTAATATAAATTCTTACGCTCACTTACCTAAAGAATTATTAACAACCAACGCTTTCATTTAATGATTCAATTACATGGATTCAGATTCATTCATTGGAATGAAATACAAAAAAAGATTTACAATCAATCAAGGAAGTTTGCTCAAATTCCTATTAAATTTAGTAAATCTGGTCACACATATCGAGGTAAATGTATAGCTCTCTTACGAAACAAACAGTGCAGCCATGACTCACTTGAACTTGAACATTCCTACATGTTTCTGTTTAATGAGGAAATTGCAGAAATGAAACACGAGCGAATGAGACTTTCCCACGAGCAAGTATCTAATACAAGGATACGTACATATTTATTTTCAATGTCACCCCCTCCGTGCATCTACTAGTAGGCCATGTACACACAAGCAATGGACTAGCTCAATATTCTAGTTTTACATATTTACCGCAATTGCAGAATATTTTTATTTAGTTTGCATAAATTAGCCATCACTAAACTAATTAACTAATTACTCAGTTACTTACGTATCCAAAATGAATGTTACTAAAAAGAAGGGAACACATATTCTTACTGTCAATTTCTTCTCAATTACATATATACATTTTTAGTGCAACTTTCAATTAACACGCAGGTTGAAGAAGAAGTGGTTCAAGAATAAAAGTAAAACCTGTTTATGTAGATATCATGTACCATGCAATGTTATCACGGTTTAAATTACAGCATTATTTCCCACACGGATATTAAATACTTAATACGAAACAAAGGTTTTGTTATAGGCTCGTTCATTCCAGCCAGACTTCAGTCACTTCTCCAATCAGAGTGCATTAAGCAATAAATATTCCAATTGCTTTTTCAATTGTGAAACTCAATACTAAAAATGTCATATTTACCATTAAAATTATTACTTGTCCCATTGTCACTTGTCCTCACCCCTTGTTTATTAATATGTGTAGTTTTTCCACTCTATTTAATCAGACTAATATCATGTATAACGTCAAAATTCGTTTTGTCCAAAAACTCTCGGATATTGTCTCCAATCAGCAGCATTTTTACATCAGACAACTTTAGCAAACCGAGGTGCACCTTGGTCCTTGCAGCAATAGTCGAAGGGAGTCTTAACAAGGATGAGATTGTTACCAGGCTAAATCTCGTCTTTAATTCTGGACTATATCCTGAACTGAGACAGAAATTGTGTCGATGGATGGGGTTTTGGTTTTGGGGCGATTGTTCAGATTTTAATCTTGATCACCACTTAAAATTTCACGAAAACACTTCTTCATCATCCCTGGTGGATGAGGTTCAAGTAAGAAAAATCAGAAATGAGCTTGTGAAGAAAGAATTCGACACCAACAAACCGCTGTGGGAGATGTGCATCTATCCTTACACAACAATTATCAATGGGCATGATACTAATACGGAACCTAAATCTGTGGCCATTTTCAGGATTCACCATTGCGTCGCAGATGGCTACAGTTTGTTGAATGTGTTCAAGGACTTTAATGAAACAGAAGTTAAGACAAGTAAACCACATTTTCTTCACCGAACATTTAAACAAAAATGTGTGTTTTGGTTGCGATTCTTAACAATAACGCCGATAGATTTGTGCATCAGCTATTGGAACGCTAAGGACAATAATGCCTTTAAAATTAAAAAGTTTTCTGGCGAGTCATTTGGTTTCGAGGCTGATACCGTGGAGCTGGAAACGCTGAAACGAATTGCGAAAAAATTTGGAGTGAGTGTGAGTGCAGTAATTTTTACAGGATTCTGTGCAGCCATTCGTGATGCATTTCTTAAGAAAAATTGGCCAGTTCCGGCAAAGTTCCATGTTCCATGTGCTCTTCCTGTGAGTATGAAGTTTGGGGAGAGTAAACATTTAACAAATGTGATGTAAGAGTCCAAATTATATTTATTTTAAATAATTTAGTAATTAATTAATTTGCAATATTACAAAATTATAGGACACTATTGCCATTTCCAACTCCAGTAAATGAGGCAAATCCTTTAACCCGTCTTTCGAAAATCGAAAGGATTTTCAAACAAAAGAAGAATTCGGAATTGGCCGTTGCTTACTCCTTCCTTTTCCAGTTTGCAGGAATTTTGGCTAGTTTGACTCGAAAAGAAAACGGCTGCTCGTCAGGTTCAGCATTCTGGAGCAATTTCCCAGGCACCACCAATCATCAATTAGTCTTTGGGAAAAAAATATCGGCCTTCCGGTTCACCACTGATTTTCACAATGACAACGTAGCGTTAGGATTTGCATCCATTTGTTTTAATGGGAACATGTTGATTAGTTGCAAGGCTGACAAAAATTTATTTTCAGACCCCAGTCTAACACGACAATTTATAGAAAGAGTTACCGAGGAATACACATTTTTAGATAAATATTCATTTAGTGATAATCAGTTTGTATAAAATCTAATCTAATTAGTGATATACGTACTTATTTATATGTATTTTTCTTGTATTTTTATAGTTTGTACAGCATTCGTATACATAAATGCTTAATAACAATTATTGCTTGAATGACAAATCATAACAATTTTGCATTGTCGATTTTTCGGAGAACTAGTTTGTTTCTCCCCTCGTCGGTTAGCAGTGTCATCTCATCTTCTGAGCTAAACTGTTCCTACAAAGAGAGAATACATGATGATGAAAGTAGACAAATGACACTTGATATTGTCTCCGTGTCGTCAGTCTGGTCTCCTTGTGTTGACTCGCCACTTGAGTTGAATCAGTTCGAGTTCTCGTTGACTGCTGTTCTCGATGATGATGACTTTGGGATGAGTTTGAGTCCAGTTTCTCCCACTCCAAGGAACAATGTAAAGTCGACAATTGTCAGCAAATTGTTGAAATATAATGGATTCCTCCTTCCCAATAAGCAAACTTTGCTTTCCTGCTGCATGCGTTCAGCTCAATAATAATCTGGTACCATACGTACAAACTTGTCCCATCCATACATACACGAGGAACATCATTGTCGTCATCCTCCTGCGTCCAACAACCCTTTTTGAACCACAATTCAATATTTGATGCTTGGGATCCTATTGCCGTTCGTAAATAACACTTGAATCCAAAATGGTATTTTATTAAAGTGAGGGACAAAATTAAATTTAAAAATAGAGTCAAGTTCTTCATAAGTGGGCATTTCCGATTAACGGCTGCTGTACTGCATAAAGTCTGCTCATAATTCGTCGAACCGTCAAACAAGATTCGGAGGGATCGCTTATATCATTCTCTGTAGGTTTCAAATTTATATTGCACAATAAACATTTCAGACTATGAATTAAGAGAATCCTCAGCGTGAACCCAAGGCTCAAAGACGTGGTCAGTGCCATAAGCTGATATTCAACAAAATACGTGTATGTATTGAGGTTAATCTTGTGAAGGCGATTTACATAAATACTATTACGTATGCATTTTGCAACACTAACTACGATAAAATGGTGATATATTTTTTAATAAGTGGTCCATGCTAAGAACAATTCTCTACTCTATATGTACATACGATATTTCATCCATCTGTTGTCTCGCAGATAAGTAAGTATATAAACGCCTTATGCAGACGACGCATTGATGGATTCTCAATTCATGGCAAGCTGGTCGAATTGGTCGATATTTAATACCATTTATGTTCTCTATTATGCACTTTACCTCCCACACACAAAGCAGTTGGTCACCCACACAAACTAAACACGTATTTATTAATGCTCCTCCTCTGCTTGGTAATGGACTTGAACCCACTCATCGCATTGTTTAATTTCTTTAATAAGCCTCCAGCCGTCAATCAACACACATTTCTCATCATCATCTCATTACAAATTGTGAGAGCCTCCTGTGCACATAGCGTTGGTTGGATATGTGTCCAATCTTTTGTGTTGAGCTACCTTCAACCCTTGAATGAGGAGGACCATTTGGTGGTAAAGTAACCTTATAAATAAACGCTTTAGATTAGATGGTTACTTTATCTATGTGTTTTGAGGTCATTGTTTTGTTATTGCTACTGACTGTTTATATTAGTTTAGTTGCTGAAGAGTAAGTTTGCCAAGCTGTCAACGGTAGCCAGTCTAAATAAACAAATCGACGGGATAATTGCTTCTCTCTTTATTTTACTTTCTTTTATCCTCTACTATGCATACACGTCATATGTCATGTCATCAGCCAAACTAGGGCTGCTTTTATCCTCGTTTTCACAAACTCACAATCAGCTCGCGTCGAATCAAGAAACAAAGGTTAAAGGCATTTTAAGAATATCGGATAGATCATTTTATTACAATATTGTCATGCATGCTTAATAAAATTTGAATTGCAGAGGATTTTTGTAAAAATATCAAATTATGATGCACTGCTCCTTGTTTCCTGTACACTGACAAATCTGAAATGAGAAACAATTAATATGTAATTTTGCTATTTGTTACACATACATAGACTACAAAAAATATAATTTTTAGGTGGGTTGGTCATGCATGCATACTACATTTCATTCATGGTTATCATCAAGAAGTTTTATTGAGACTGCTTTTTACAAAAGTCGTGGCCACCGCATCGTTCGGATTTGATTCCATGGGGGGATGATGGAAAGGAAAGCAGTAGCTCAGCTCTCACTCTGTTCATCCAAATAAGAGAAGAACCACCGATTTGTATTTGGTCTGGTTTCGTATTTATTTGGAATGAAAGAGGATTAGAGATTTGATAGACTGTTGAGTGCTGCTGAGTGGTGTGGGGGACTATTGACTCCTCAAATGGAATTAGCCACACACGAAAGGGCATTAGTATCTAGCACACAATACCATGTGCATGAGTCATCTCGTTCCCCTCCAGCCTATCCGATAGATCCGACCGAATTTAGAAATAAAAATTGACAATATGGAAGTTTCATAAAAAATGGAGCCACATAAATCTTAACCAGCCATCACTAAACACGGTTAAGCTCTAATAAAACCTAATCGGATTTTGTAAATGTTAATACTGCGTGCACGACCTGATGTCCTTATATCCACCAAATAAATCCAGCTTACATCTACACCAACCACTCTGTAAAATATGACTTGTCCAATGGTGACAAAATAAATGATGGCAAAACCCTGGTTGGGGGACCACCAAGAAAAGGGGAAAGATCAATTCAGCCAAGTTACACAACTTTGTTTATAAAGTTTTGAGCCTTTAATACTTAAGCACAAATCGGGCGGTCTAGTTCGTCAAACTTTCTCCTTGGCTATTTTAAAGAAATATCTGTCAAACTCCCAACGCTATTTGTAAATACGTACATGTATGTATGCCTATCTCTATTTCAAATCATTTCCATTGTCAATTGTGTTAAGAGCATTTTAAATTTAACACTTTTAACAACGCTGTTGGTATACACATGCAGTAATCTGTTTATGAGTGAGCATGAAAGTGATTCATTGGAGTGCGTTTAGAAAGTGCACATGTACATACCTACAAATGCACAGGGAACAAAAAATAAGCACATTTCTTTCGTCTCCATCACTTCCATTCACATTTTCATAGATTATGAAGATTGAAATCAGGCAGACAAAAGAGAATCATCCACACACGCAATGCTATCCAAACCTTTGTGTATATAGTATACATATGCATGTATATGTAGAAGGAAGTGAATACTTGAAAATTTCCAGGTTCATACTTGATAATATGGGTTTTCAGTTTTTCTGCATATCATGTGGTTCATGATTGGACAAATAAGGTTTTAGCAAAGGTTATATAATAAGTATTTATGATACACCTACGTGGCCTGTCTGACCATTGGGACATATGAGACTTCCATTAAAACGTCAAATTCATAAAGTCTGAAATGTCCATTCGCTATTATATTCCAACAACCAATGAACTGCATAGATATATCCTGTGTACATATAGAGGCCCGTCATAATTATATATTTACCCACATTTCAGATTAAATTTTCATCCGATCAATAGAATTATTTATCAGGCTTTCTCCATCAATTTTCACAATGTGGCCGAACAATGGTGCAAGAAATACGAGATGAAAATTCTCTTTTGTATTCATGATTTAATCCGATGAACCATCCCACTTGGTAATCTCTCTCGGCTACCCTGTCACTTTCCACTAACTAATCCAACAAGGACGTCATAGTTTTATTGACCGATTTGTATGCAACTCGGAAAGGACCATACGCAAATCCTAATAGTAGTATTTAGTAGGCTAATATGTGTGGCAGTACCACATACATAGCTGCTGCCACACACAATCAAGCATTTCGAAATGGACGAACGTAGAGTCAGGATGGCTTTGATAGTTTATTAAATTGAAGACTCCATTACACGACTTTATTTACTCCTCCAGACAACTCAAAATATATTACAGAATAAACAAGGTATAGTAAAATAGAATGACCCAGAGAATCAACGTAAATCAGATTGAGGTGAGGTGTATACGATGAGAGATGAGACGACAATTCAATTTGACCTGCCCTTTATACACAAACAATCTCATCCTCATCTCAATCTCAACAAAGCGAAGTGAGAAACAATTGCAAATTATCCAGAGCCACGGGCTGGGTCTGATTACATTTACTTATCACAGAGAAAGTTGCATGATGATGATGATGATACGCTACAAATAGAGAGATTATAGCAGGTCTTGGCTCATATCATGAGTCATATCATGCATTCAGTGCATATAAATGGACAAAGTGAAAGTGATGAGCTCGAGGTAAACTTAAATTGCTCGAAAATTGTATTAGTGATCCTGAGGCGATCCATTCTCTGTAAACCACTCCAATCTTTTGAATGCAATTTACCCAGACAAGGAGAGACACTGGCTATGAGATAAGAAGACCGTTCCAAATTGAATATTATGTATAATCACATACAAAAGAAGCAGTGTGACATAAATACGTATTTGACTACACGAGGTAATTGAGACTGCCGTTGTTATAGGAGTGGATGCTTTACGCCACCTTCACAACTCCGTCTGGACTCGTCTGTGCAGTGAAAGGCTCGCCGCGTTGTTGAAACACCGCCTGATTCTGAGAGAGAAAGTTTCTTTCTTCGCTTTCTCAATTTGCAATTTTAAGTACTTTCTATTTAGACTTTTGTAAACAAAAGCACCCTAAAAGGCATTATAATAATAGTGCACGAAAGAAGTAAATCTGAAGGTATGCAAATAATAACTTATTTTGCGCTATTTACTGCCAGCCAGCTATGATAACAAAAATCAATGATTTTAAATCACGTTGAATTTTAAATTTGTGAAGTAGATTTAATAGGATGGCGTCTAAATCAGGAAAGAAAAAGTCAAACGATGAGCTATTAGCTGGTTTCAATGCCCTAAGAACGGAACAACGCCAAATTGCAAACAAGATTTACGAACTGGAGAGTGAATTTCAGGAACACAAGTTAGTTTATTAGCGAAACAATCTAGACTAATTGTAAACCAGACTGTCTGTTCTAGTATCGTAGGGTTCGATTTGATTGTAATATAATTACAGGATCGTGATCGAAGCTCTTAAAGAGACTGAACCAGAGAGAAAATGTTTCCGCATGATAGGTATATTCTGAATTTATCTATAACATATTATGAATTAAGATTCTTAATTTAAGAACTAATTCGAAATATACTATCTATAATAATAGGAGGTATTTTGGTGGAAAGCATAGTGAAGGAAGTTCTACCCAATTTGAGCGATAATGCAAGCAGGGTGAGAAACTGAGAACTCGTATGTTTTTTATGTCAGGAATGATGTTTATAATACTTGTTATTCCTGCAGATGAAAGATCTTTTGGAGAGTATGAACAAACAACTTATTGAAAAAGGAAAAGAAATTTTAGAATACAAGGAGAAACATCCTGGATGTTTCGTTAATACAAGTGGAGTCCCTCCCAAAATCTTGGAAGAAGAAGAACCTACCCAACCTGAATCATCGTCTAAGTCAACTGGAATTTTAACTGGTGGAAAGACATGATGTTGTTAAATTAATATCACAAAAGTCTGTTCTTGTTAATTCTAATAGTTATATGATATTACTTCTATTCAAAAGCAGCGTCAAAATAATCATTAATACACTTATTTTAAACCTATTAAGAAGTACTCATATTTTATACGCAAAAACAAACTTTAAGTTGTAGCTTTAGGCTCAATGCAAAAAGTATTTTGAATACTTTTCATAACACATAACGCTTTCCTGTCTGTTAACAGAAACAATATGAATCTGTATACATAACACAAAGTTCGATTGACCCGACGTATACACTACCAACCAATTTGAACCAATAAACCAACCAAATTCAAGAACGGAATATTTTATTTGCATGCTATATTTATATAGAGTTGTATGCAGTTGAATAAACATGTACGCGATATTCAATTTTTGCATTGATTTATGCATTTTCCCCATCATAGATAGCATCATAATCAACAAATTTATGATATTTTAAGTATTTATAAAGCTATCACTGATAAATTATCAGTAATGTCTCAGGTGGTTCCTGCATGATGGTTAAGCAGAACATAAGAAACTAAATCCTGCGCTTTAGAGCACTTCATTCTATTGCCCAACTATTCCAATGCAAAATGTTAACATTTTTTAGAAATATCCAAATATTTCGATTCAAGCGCAAATTTTCTATTATTTTAATGCACAAACTGCTTTTACGCATATAAATACAAGTAAAAGAAATAGGACTCCATAGCGTTAAATTGCTTCGGATTCAAGATAAATCTCTGCAAACTTGGTTACATTCAGTGTCGAGGGGAGTAATTTGAGTGGATGAAGGTGCGATGCAGTGGCCAAATTGAGATCATACTTCAAAGGATCATTTCTTTAGTATGAATGCTCAAACCCTTAGCCAACTCGGCGAAGGAACAAACCACGAGGATGAGACGAAAGCTTCCTCCCCTGAGCGTGAGACGGGCTCAAGTTGACCTCAGGGTCGATTCGAGTCCACGATGACCGTTCAGCCTTCTTTTCGGAGGAGGCCGAGGGGGTCGAAGCAGTCTGAGTGGTTCTTTTTAAACAATTCTAAAATTACTTGCAATTTGAAACACTTGTATTTACGAGTAGTTTGGCTATAACTACTTTCAAATGGGGAACTTTGCTACGTTCACTTGCTCGTCGTCTGTCTGCCTTTGAAATTTTTATAATCAGGAAGGAAAGGAAACGTAAGAGGTTATGCAACGAAAGAAGAAAATCAACCAATCGTCAAACATGATGCGATTTCCTCAAGTTATTAAATTAATTTAGTAAAATTTGCATTTTGAAAAAGCGATATGAGATCATGTAATGTCACAAGGAAAGCTGTAACAGTGAATATCATCACATCAGACCATGATGGTTGCTGACCAAACAAAAATTTTTTTCAAACAAAAATTAACCACTGAAATGTTAACTTGGGTAGATTGCATGGTTATGCAATTCCATCGGATAAATTTAATTAAGGTGAAACGTGTCAAGGATTTTTTTTGTTTCAGTAAGCTCACAACAAAACTCATTCTTAATCATATGAACAAATTAATCAGTAGGTGTAAGTAATAAAGTGCGCTCATTGCAGGAAATTATACGACTTTGTATATTCTCTTAGATATCAATATCGAATTGAATTTGAGACTTTGTATGTTAAGTGTGGTTCATATATATGTACATATTGAAGATAATATGTTGCAGTTGCAATATGATTTCTACCTGCCAATTTTATGTCTATACGATACATGCTATCCTAACTAAGGTAGTCGAAACATATTAGTCATGTTCCGGTGGGTGGATTCATCACCGTCAATAAAAGTATGGTTAACACCAGCACTGCAAGCTGCGCCAAATTTCTTGTTATTCCGATTTGACAAATAGCTCAATTACAATCATTCAGATTTAAAATGCATAAACCCGTTGCATTGTATGTGCATACTATTATAATCATAATATCGCATACATTATGACATGTACTATACCATACATACATTCATAAATATGTGTGTAGGAAATATTGTTCACTGCGCCCAGTAAAAAAGTAATAACCACCTCAACTGAAATCTAATCTCTCTTTCCACATTTGCTCAGGATTTATTTTGTTATTTACATCACTACAACAAAACCTGCGAACAAAACTGAACATGATAACGTTGGACGTCGATGAGGTGACGGCTACACGTACATATGCATGTATATGCAGTATACATAAAAAATAATGATGATGACAAAGAGACACACTCTCATTATTGCTCCAGAATCAGTTGGAACGTAACCATAATTCCGGATGGAGATAGGATAGCAATATTACACTCACAGGTAATTTGCTAAAACTGATAGAAAGACGCAAAAGGCATAAGCATTGTTTTAAAAAACGTTTGTGATTTTTTAAGCAACTATACTAATAGAAATTCTTGAAATATCACCACAACCACAAGTATTTAATAAAGATCGACTTCAAGAAAGACATCAAATCAAGACAGGAAAGGTGAGTCAATAAGTTAATTTGTGAGTGATGAGTAATCAAATGGTGAAGTCAACGAGGCGTGAGTGTGCAAAAACATAGACAGACCAACGCACGCACAAGGCGATACAAAAGGTGTTTGCTAAAATATTCTCGTCTGAACATAGACAAATGTTAGCAGGTCGTTTATGTAATTGCGACAAGGATATATGTAGATTTGCATGATAATAACATACTGCTGGAATAGCCTCCTTATAAACGTAATTCATATCTGGAGTAGAAAAATTATTTCAGGTAATAATAATGTACTAGTAAACATGGGCTTATAGTTAAAACAACAGGAGAATATTACTACATACATCCGTTAATCAAACAAACTCTTGTAATGTCAGTAAGCCTCTTGAACTTGTATGCTTAATAGGTAGTCACGACTTCTGTAATCTTGTCAATATCTTACAAGATGATTATTTATTTCATTGCACTTTTACAGCTTTATTTTCATTGACATTTCATTAAATAGATTTAACATTTGAACGGTTTGGAAAGAAATAACTGGGACGTACGTAGACAGATACGATTCTTCCAAACTCATAAAAAGTTGTAATTATTGGAATTGGAACTGCATAAAATTCAATTGTGTGCAAATTTAATTACACTTGAGGTCGTGTTCATCAAAAATTGTATAACAGTTCCCACCAACGCTGCATAACATTAATAGCAGTACAATAATGACAACGTGTTATTTCTATATGCGTGCTTAAGACGGTCTTTCTTAAATAAGGTATGTGATACTGATATCTCTCGTCATGGTCATGCTTTGCGTAAGAGTGCCATGCAAACTAAATATTCAGTAGTATCACATTGCACTTTTAGTAGTAACAGTGTCGAATTGTTAGCCGTGTATTGTGACTATAAAACTAGTATTTAGTAATAATTTATATTTTGCAATTATGTTCCACAACAGTCATAATGTCAAGACAAATGCCATCATCATCATCCATCCTTGCGGTCTGCAGTATCATTTCGCTGATTTTAGTGCAAAATATTAATTCCCAATCCTCACCTAACGATACAACCACAGCTTCAGCAACAACAGCATTGTTACTAAACTCAACAACACCGAATGAAAACGTGACTTCAAACTACAATAGTACTTCTACCACTACTTTGACTATTTCTACACCAGCTACAACGACAACAAAAGTATTAATTCAACCTCGAGCGCAAGATGACAAGGAATCCCCTGGAAAACTCTGTGAAACGGACAATGACTTAATTGGTCAACATCTTGGGTGCAGTTGCGTAGATTTGAATGGGGGAGTTAAATCGGCAAACTGTGCAGATAAATGGTACGCCGCTTAATTACATATTAGAAATCCTGTCAGTATGGAAATCGTCTTAATTGTGCCGTTTTTGATATGATTTTGCAGGATCGGTTACAATAATAGTTTGAATCTACCCTTTAAACTAAATATTTCCAGACATGTTCGAATTCTAGATTTATCCAAAAACCATTTGGAGATTTTAGATGAGAATACGTTCGGGGATTGTGAAGGATTAAGAGAATTGAACTTGTACAAAAATCACATTGGATACATAAAAAGTCTTAACTGCACTGGGATAAAGAAATTAGATTTGAGTTGGAACCATTTACATAACCTGACAAATGAATCATTTAAAAACTTAAGTAAATTGGAGGTAAGTTTTTTAAAATGGTTCTTCAATCATTGATTTAAATTGTACATGCTAATTCTATCAAATCTGTTATCGTTGTAGGAACTTGACTTAAACCACAACCATCTAATCATAGTTGAGCCAAATTCATTGGACCGTCTCAAGAATTTGAGGGTTCTCAATCTTGCCTCGAATCCCCTGGGCCAAGAGCTAAATTTTTACTCTGACTATATTCTCTCATTGGACAACTTGGTTCTTCTTGAGACTTTGGACCTGAGCAACACTTCACTTCCAGATTTTCCATTATCCCTCATTCAAGGAACAAAGAACATTAAACGGCTGAGACTTGCAAACAACATGATCACCTATCTTCCGGAAGGAGTTTTACACGAATTGACAAGTTTAGAGTATTTAGACTTAAGTGGAAATTGGTTCGAGACCTTAGTACCTTTCGGTTTCAATGGTTTGAGCACTCTACGAATTCTGATTTTGGATCGTATGCCTTATTTGAAAAAAATTGAGCAGCATGTAAGTCAGTTAACACTGAATATTATATATATATTTACATAATACGTCTTAGTACTGTTAATTATGGTATTTATATTGGTTTGATAAAAACAATGTTTTTGGTGTTGAAGGCATTTGCTGGGCTGAGCTCATTGGTAAGTAAGTTATCTTGAACTTCACATTATGCCATTTTAATATTTCACTAAATTTTCTACATACCTTGCACTCATTCCGTCTCATTTTCAGACCGAGCTATCTTGTCAGAAAAATCACTATCTTTCCTTCATTGATGTGATGGCATTTCGGGTTTGTACTAATTATCCTATATCCCATGCAGCGCTATGTTCACTGAAAAGTTGTAATTCAATTGGTCGTTATTATGTAGATGGCTCGGGAACTTGAAAAAGAGTTAGTGGAGGGTGACAGCCATCCAAAAATTGTGCACCTGGCCGACAACAATCTTAACTACTTTGAGTATGGACTTCTCGTTTGGAAAGATATGGAATGGCTGGAACTTTACAGAAACCCGTGGATTTGTGATTGCAACTTGCAATGGGCAGGTACATACGCATAAATATGAATGCACTTGCTTATTTAGTTTTATATAATCTCCATATTTTAAATCGAGCCAAAAAGTAATAGGCGCAAATTTTATTTTCATTAGCCGAGTTTTCTGCTCACAAGAAAGCGGATGCTGCTATTTTAATGGACCCAGATTTTACGTGAGTAATCATTATTTAGGTTATCACTCATTTGGAGCATGCATATGCTAAGGTGATATTGTTTAAATATAAAAGTTGCATGGAACCACATATTTTTGCTGGGGTCCAAGTCACCACAGTTGCACCTGAAGAGATGCTGTGTTATTCCCCAGCAGCCACTGTTGCAGGGCTCGTGGGAATTATTCTTTTCGGATTTCTGCTCTTTACGTTTTGCTCTATCTTAATTTTGAACCACATGGGAATGTTGCCTGACTGGGTGAGGACCTACAATATCTTTGGAAGCGGAAGCTCTCTCCCAAAATATATGAGAGTCAATCCAAAACCTGCTAGAGCAAGGCGAATGGAACGCATGGGGGTGATCCCACCGCCGGAGAAAGGGGAACCAGTCCCTGGAGATCTGGAGTGGGATAGTGGAGATATTGGGCCAACATAAATAAATATTTACATGAATGCAACGAAATTTTAAACGAATTACAATCTATCATTATTATTTTATTATTTATGATTTTTTTAATTTATAGCTCTCTGTGATTATTACTGGTCAATTTTATAAAACAAGACATTGTGTAACTTGTGTATGTATTGTGTCAATAAATCTACCTATATTTAAACACAACAAAGCTCGTTTCTGTATGACCATTATCATCGCCACCTGGTACCACATTTCTACCCACAAAAACCGGAAACTAAGGAAGCATTTTATGCATGCAATATTCTGCACAAAGTTATTGAACCACTGCATTTCATTTTCCCATTTCCGTCAAGCAATTCTGCGCCTAGTGGAGTAAGTAAGCTAAAGAAAGTCTAATGAAAACAAAGTGTGCTGTAAACGGCATTGATTTTCTTGACCAAACCGGGTCAGTATAAGAACCAGAAAAGAACTACAGTAGTTTTCTTTTGCTGGTGTAGTCATCACATTCATAAAAGCACATTGGTCACGATATTAGTCCAATTCGACTCGATTTTGAAAAGAAAACTATTATTTAGTGCACCCTGTAAACTGATGCTGCGACATCAAAGTGTCCAACAGCAATTTACAATTGACATATTTATTAAAGGATGCATGCGCCAAAGTTGCTAGGATACTAAGGATAAGTGTCAGGTAATTGTGACTGGCTGCATATTCCAATTAAAATGTCGTTTAAAAATAATTTTGTTACTTTTAAAATCATAGTTTGAGCGAAAATGACGACTAATAATTTATTATATGCATGAATGTGCATAACATATCTATAAACAAACGTAATTTTAGTTCACAATGAGTCTAACCAACTGCAAGAATTCCTTGGTGTATGATGAGCTCAATAAACTAATATTTGAGGTATGTGAAAAATATGTGTACATTTATTATCATCAATACTAACAATGAGGAGGTGTCAGGTGGTTATCGCCAATGTGGACCGGACTAATTTTAAATTGTTCAGGCCCAGAAATAAACCCACCCGTATTTTTTCGTTTTTCTGAATGGGCATATTTACGCCCGTGGCGGAATTTTCAAAAATAATTTCAGCCAAAATCCTGATTTTTAAAAACGCTGTAACTTTTTGAATTTTAGCCCGATTTCAAAAATTGAATACAATTTGTGTTCAGAATTACTTCCCTAAAAATATAAAAATTCATTTTCAAAAATTTTTTTAATTTAATATTTTCATGCCATTTCTGAGTTTTTAGAAATGAAAAAAACGATAATTTTTTGAAAGTTAAAAGTTTTTTAAAAATGAATTTTTATATTTTCAGGGATGTAATTCTGAATACAAATTGGGTTTATTTTTTGAAATCGGGTTAAAATTCGAAAAGTTACAGCGTTTTTAAAAATCCGAATTTTGGCTGAAATTTTTTTTGAAAATTCCGCCACGGGCGTAAATATGCCCATTCAGGAAAACGAAAAAATACGGGTGGGCTTATTTCTGGGCCTGAACAATTTAAAATTAGTCCGGTCCACATTGGCGATAACCACCTGACACCTCTCCATTGTAAGAGTATTTGCGTATTCATACTCTCATATTTGCAATGTTTCGAAAAGTACTTGGAAATCAATGGCTTGGAAAACACTTTGGATGCTTTCACATCCGAATGTGCATCGAAATGTTTGCCCTGCCCATCCCCAAGTGATCCAGAATGCAAAGCTGCCTTCAGCCATTACGAAGGCGTAAAATTGTTGAAAGCTTTTGATGATGGGAATCTGACAGATTTTTTCAAGGTAAAACGGATGAAAAATTCTACATTTAAAGTATTAAATTATTATTTACATACTTGTTAATCATATTTAGTTGTGGCGAATATTTCAATCACATATTCAAGTGACCAGTGATGACATGGCTAAACTGGAGGTTTACATTCGAGTCCATTTTGCTCTTTGGCCACGAGCACATAATCAACCGGAAGAAGTTCAAGAGAAAGCAATGGGTGAACTAAAACTCTTTTTTGAACAGCAAAAGTCAAGTTTAGGAAAAGATTCAACAATTCTTCCACTGTATGCATTACCATTTGTGGAGGATCCCTTCTCACATCCCATTTTCAAAGAATTATTCCGTGTACGTATGTATTACATAATTATAGATTCTTGTACTTTGTTGCATACTTTTATGTATTTGGGTTCATATTTTATTATTTTCTCGCATCACTAGGATTTGTGGACAATGAAACTTCGAAATCAATTGGAAGTGACGGTGCAAAAATACTTCGAACTCTTACAGGAGAACATTTGTTCACACTCGAGACTAGCAGAACTTGTCGTAAAAGGAGAGCGATATGAAGAGGGGGGTTTTGGGTGTAGTAATAAGGCAGGTTTCCACCAAGACCGATTTTATCAACTGCTGGGAAATCATAGGAAAATCCGAAAACTTCTTCAAGGGACACGAGAAAGCTATGCAAAACTACTGCGTAAGAAGATTAAAATTTCAAATACATAAATATTAAACAAGTCAAGTATCACAAAAATCACTCACTCGGTCACCAATTTTTATCACGCAGTTGTTACACATGAACTTGTGGTTGCTTTGGAACAATCAGTTTCTGGTCAGCCAATCCCAATGGATTCAATTTTGGACAAGTGCTTCTATATTTTTCCAGAAATTTTTACACCGAAAACTTTGAACTCTGCGTCTGATGTGGTAAATTCAAGTAAAATGGTAATACAATGGAAATAATTTGAAAAATGTGTAAATGATTGACAATATTTTTAGGAGGGCAAACCTAACATCGAGTACTTTAAACAACTCAGTGCCTCTGCTAATTTTGATCCGACACAAGACTCTGAAGTTAGCCTATTTTTTCTTGGAATTTCGAATGTGAGCCCAGAATTCCTCGACTATGAGAAAATGAAGGAAACTTTAACTGACGTTTCGACGGCGTCAGTTTCTGATAAACTTTGCCTGCTCCAAGCACTCCGATGGCTCATCACCAGAACTACAGAAAGTTGTCGAGCAACTGCAGTGGAATCATTTGTCGGCAGCGACATTTTTGGAATTAGTTTGACGACTCCAGAATACAGAGAGAAACTATTTCATTGCATGCTCTACCCCACCCCAACGTATCAAAAAGAGGTGCGCAGCTATTATTTAAATTCATTCAAACAGCTATAATATTTCTATTATATATGTAAATACACACGGCTTCTCACAAATGCCTGTCTAGTGCCTTGCCCGATTCGTGAATGCAATCAGTTCGACCAGAACCGGACGAAATTACTTGTCATCCACGGTATTTATAGCGGACACGATGATAAAATCTCTGACAACTTTCACCGGAATCACGGAATCATTCATATGTCAAATGGTGGTTGCAACGCTGCAGAAGCTCAGTTTAAAGTATGCAAAATATGCATTTGAAATACAAGTTTTGCACACTTTTTCATACCGTTAAAAAAATATTATTTTGGGCAGAAGGAGCATGCGTATATTCATGATACAGCACAAGGTTATCGATTGGCTTGTGATGTTCATCAAGAAAGAGCTGGATGAGCAAACGACAGCAGTATTGGCCAAAACTAGTGAGAAGGACAAGAGTAAAAATCACAATGACCTCTCAACAATAGGAAGCTTTAACCCATACTTGATGGAATATGCTTGGGCATTGCTTATGAATCTTTGTTTGCACGAGGAAGCGTGGACATCATGTATTGAGAACGGTGCAGATCTCATTAAATGTGCTTGCACCATGTTAAAAGTCACCCCGAGAAAAGATGTGAGAATATATGTAGAATCTTATCTAAGCTAAATATGCACATATTTTAGTTTTATTTAATAGAAATTCTTTCTTTTTGAAATTAGTTGGCACCATACGTTGTAAGTACTTTGTACTCTGTTCTACGCTGCCCAGAAATGTACGACTTGGCAAAAAAATTGCAGCTAGAAACATTAGTGTCTCCCTTACTTACGGTATGGAATAACTGGGATAAAAAATTATTTAAATATGACCTTAAAAAGCTAACTACATATTACAACAAACAGGAAAATAGTGAACTCGCCGAACATCTAAATAATCTGATTTCCTTGCTGTATATGAAAGGCTGTGATCGAATCACGTCCTCTCGAGAAACAAATTACGATGACGAAGATAGTGTAAATATGTCCACACATATAAATCTTGATTAATGGAATTCTAATTTGACTTTTTGTTTAAATTTATTAAAATGCAGCCTGATCCGGATATTTTCGAACCAGAAATTGAGTTATCTGAAAGTTGGACAACTGCTCTGGTGGAGGAATCAGATCTGACAGGGGATGATTTGCTACTCAGAAAGTATTTGATTGAAAAGGCTGATCCTGTAGTTCCAGAAACTGATAATGCTTCAGCTGAAAATGAGTAAATAGATATATTCACGAATATATGTTTTATTAAGTACCACCGTTATGAAAGCTTCCCTACTATTTTTTGGTGCATTTTTTGTGGTTGTTAATTTGTAAATATTTTTTATCAGGTTGAGAACAAACACAGGAGAAATAATAATTCGACCCATTACTCCGACAACAATGGGTACTACTTCTATTGGTACAACTACAACGGGTAAACCCAAGAAAAAAACGCCTCAACAACAGCTGCATTTCCAAACTTTGACGAACGATCCTAACTCGACACTAAGTTCTACATCCGTCCAAAAGAAAACAGGGGTGAAAGAGGCTGGAATTAAGGGTTACTCTTCCAACAACCCCACAACAGCACCAAAACCTAAGGGCACGACATCCTCGTCCTCAGATCTTAACTACTTTGGTTCACCATCAAGATCCGATTTGAAAACTCCTCCAAGGAAATCTAGCATCCTTAAAAAGAGCACAACGTCATTAACCGGTAAAACAAGAACCTCCACGGAAAGAGAAACTGATGAAGTGGTGCTAGATTCAGTTTACCAAAGACCTGGACAAGAGCCAAAAAAGGGATCAACTTCCGTCACAGGAGAGTCAGGAGGGAAACCGGGAGGCACAACAAAGCATGGAAGGGTTTCATTCTAAGCATTGCCATTGCATTATGTAAGATGGACACTAATTTTAATTGAAGATTCAATGATAAAAAAGATACTCAAATTCTAAAGAGATTAAATAAAACTGCTGGCTCTGTGCATAATATTTTGTTTTATTCATAATTTTCATTTTATGATTGATTGCATGCCAGCATATTAGGCGGCGGCTTATTAGATTCGCACAACTACTAAAATCTCACGATATATTCATTTCATGTCATAATAGTCCAGATTATATTTAGAGGTGAAACAACTGGATACTGTTTGATTGAGGTAAAATTTGGACATCACAGATTTCATGCTCTAAGGCAAGCGTTGCATAATAGCAAAATTTTATATGGTGCTTAAATATATTGCATTGCAGAACTATGGATTCAGACATCCTGTATACTGTATTAGCGGTTTGACTAAATTCATCATCATCTTAGAGCATTATTACTTATTTAGACTGCTCAACAGTCATTTACATGTATTTACATATATGTAATAATTGATATCACCATAATACGAGTAAATAAATGAACACAATCGTTTTAAACAAACATAGTAACAAGTATTTAAACTATCGCAACTAACTTAGAAGACTGAAAATGACTACAATTGCAACAACGACTTACACAACCTAGGGAGTATGGTAACTAGTGTACATACATTGGTACTGAATACTTGTCAAGAACAAACAAAAGATTATCTCATTATATTAACAATTGGCGAAAGCAATTAAGGTATCGAGTTTCTTTAGCTAGGAACTTATTGCAAACTGTAACTAGCCATAACTTAACCATACGTACATAAACACATATTTCGAGTATTGTAATACAACTAAACTCCATTGACTTTTGCGGCAGGACGACCAGTAGTGGTGGAAGATAAGTCGGACTTTTCTGGAAGAATACTGCTAGCTACACACGCGTTGCTAATTACACCTTTATCGTTACTATCAATGGACGATCTTGACACTAATCCTGGTGCCTGGTGCTCAACATCCTTGATTGCAGTCAAGATAAACAGGGGTGTCAGATGCGATGCAATCCATTCAGAACTTTGAGAAAAATAATATTTCATTACGAAATTATTAATCGTTCAGTATGTTTTGCTAAACATGTTAGGACAAGCAAACCAGAAATAAGAGCGACAAGTTAAGAGCAATAGGAAAACAGCACACGCTAACTAGGATAAAATACAGGCCTACAACATTCCAGCATATAAAATATAATAACCACCTGTCATCCGCAGTAGAAATCAGTTCCTTGATTGCCAGATTAAGATGAGACCCCCATCCAGACGACTTACGCTGACGTTCAAGTAAATCTTCCAGATCAGAGCTTGGTAGCCCATACTTTTTATAGTGTTGAACAATTTGGTTGAGGAAACGACAAGCCTTTTAAATTATGTGTTATTACATCAATTCTAGAGTTTGATTTATGTTTAGATGAAGTAGGTGGGTACGTAAATGAAACGTAATTTTATGTACACCTATCGCGGAATATTTTCTAGAGCAAGTGAAAATTATTACCTGTTCAATGGATGGAGATTTTTGTCCAACAATATCCATGTATCCATTAATTGCAGTTTCAGTTTCTTGTTTGTTTTCTGCTGCTGCTTCCAAATTATGCTACAAGAATTTTTGTATAATTCATTTCTATGAATTTGCCTAGAACACTTTTTAGTTTATACGCTCTACATAAATCACTTTACTTACTCTCAACGCTTGTTCATGATTTTCTGCCAATGTTTCAAGCAAGGATGCACCTGCTAAATTTCCAGCTTCCAGACACTTTGACACAAAGAAAGACAATTTTTAAAATGCTAGTAGAACGTAGATTGTATGCATGTATCGGAAAACAAAAATAGTATTATATAGTTTAGCATAATTTACCCTATTAGTCATGAATTTAGCATCATAGTTTCTTCTGAAGACATTTAAACACCATTCCAGAAGCTCCTGTCCAACAATATTAGTGTGGGGTGCAATTTTATGAGAGCTAATAACTGAACTTTCTCCCTCCCATGATAATTGTTTAGGTAATCCAGGAATTTCTTTGAGACGGAAGTAAATATTCGAAGGCTGTCGAATTTTGACAACACGTTTCTTTGTTCGGACCGTCATTACTGACTGCTCTTCGTCAGACTCCATTTTTCCAATCTGTAAAAAAAATCTCCAATTCATTATTCAAGTAAAATAAACCTGACAGGCTCAAATAATATGTTTGACACTATAGATTGATTTGTTTTACCTGTCCTGACGAATTAAAGCCACATCCGTAAACACAACCAGTATCTCTCTCGACGACAAATGTGCAATCTCCTGCACAACAAATATCCGAAACCACAATCATTTTTGCATCACAATCAATTAGCTCCAATGTTTTGCTGTCATCGTCATTCCGAGCAAGTTGACCCTTGTTACGAGAGCAAGATGTCAATAATAAATTTTTTGAATTTTTAATTTTAACAACAATTTTTAAAAGCATGGAATCGTGCTAGCAAGCTAGTTACCGATTTTCCAATTCCCCAAGTATAGACATATCCTAATGATGTCATTACGCCAAAGTGTGTGGAAGAAGCACTCACCTAAAGTTATTTCAAATTGATTTTAGTCTTGGACTACAGGCTTAAAAATGCATGATAATATAATGTACAATACACATATCATGTATGTACATATGTATGCATGTGTAGCATTCATAATTCTCTCTCACTCTTGTAATGTCTCCAGCCATGTGGGAAGTGTCAATCAGTGTTGGTTGATTGAAATCTTTTTCTTCTTCAAAGATTACTTTCTCCTGCTGCATTTTTTCCTTCCTTTTTGCTCCACTTAATAGGGACTTCAGAGACCTTAGGTTTCAAAGTTTAAGATTTAATGAATTTTGCCTTTTTTACTAATGCACATACAAATAGCTTCAGTTGTAATTACGTACGCTGGATTTAAACCGGAGTAAAATAAACGATTCTTTGTTGTCACCAAAACCTGAAATCATCAAATTCAAATTGTTTATATCAACCGAAATATTTGCATTAATAGCATAGCATAAAAGTCAATAAACTGCAATGCCCCACATAGCAAACATTGCTCCTTATTCAGAAATATACATACATAAATATATATATACTTTATATAAATACAATTCACAATTCCACCGCAAAGTAAGCATGTATTACGCATATAACACCAGTCATATAATGTTGGAGAAAGCATGCGAAAATGCCATTTCCTTATCAGATTGAAGGAACTTGATTAGCTTTTGGAGCACACAACAAAAACCTGGCTTAGGATTAGTTCATGAATATGTACACACGTATATATGTAGGTATGTACGTCGCGAGAACTAAAGCTCCATAGTCGACGACGACCAGAGCCTTGAAAAATTTGGTTGCAACAAAACTCTGAAGCATTGGGACACTAGTCTATAGAATTTTATAAAATTTGACATTATTTTGGCAGATCTTAAAACAATGGACAAGAATAATTTTGATAGCAAAGTCTATTGCTGTTCAAACTCTGCGAGAACAGAAACCAAAACCTTGGGCATCATTGACGTGGTACGAGATTAAGTATTTTGCTAACAATAAAGTGGTAACAATGTCAAATTAAATCTGTGTGAATTGTTTTCTACTTGCATATTTCTACACAGGTCTTGCACGTTATTTCGCTCATTCTCTGCATATGGATAAGTGATCTGGTTAAAAATCACACAGAGTATATTCAAAATATTCTTCTATCGACAAATAGCACGTATTGTGATTACGAAGGATTATTTCAAAAGATTGGTGAGAAAATTTGTTCAGTCAAGTAAATAAATTAATAACTACATATGTCCATGTTTTAGAACAACATCCGGATTTCATAATAGTTCCCCTAATAATTTACTCAATCTGTGGAATTACTTTAGGAGCACTATTATTCCATGCTGCTCGAACTGTAAGAATATTTGTCGTCTTAAAATCAAATTCTTAAATACGATGGTCAAAATCAAAGATTAATTTCCATTCCAGAGAAACCAACGATTGTTGAAATTGTGGTTCATTGTTACATTGATTACTCTTCTCCTAAGTTTGTACGTTGCTATCATGATGGTTATCGAAGTGAAACACAAGATCCCACTCCACATACTCGTTCTCATCATGGGCTATATTTATGCCTGGTATGAACTTTGGATTGTCGTATGTCTCATTCGAGAACTGCGGTCGTCATCGGGGTCAAACATGACCATGTTAGTCGTCGCCGACCATGTTGAACCAGTTGATTCTGATCCCCCAGCGGTTATCGTGCTGAGTCCTAGCCCCACCCCTGTCACAGTCTACACTATAGAAGGAGAGAGCCCATCCAACATAACGAAACAAAAGAATTTAGAGTCAAATACGTAATACAAAAAAAATCTTAATTAAAGTCGTCCTATTTGCATACTATAATTCTACTAATAGTACAAATTATATAGTGTTGGAACAAATGTGTAATAAATCTTGCTACCTTTCTTGACATCCTAGGCATATGCATATACACTTAATAAATGTCGTCAGTACACGTACACATGCCAATTCAATGAAACACCATTACTTCATGTGTACATCGAATGCACTTGCAGCTATACATAAGCATTGGTCACGCAATTACTATACGCTTTCACAATGCAGGAGAAATGCTCCAAATAAAGAACAGGGACCGTTTCATCATCAGGTGAAGCATGATCCTTCGCCCGATACGCGATCCGAAAACAGGACAGATTAGGAGAAAGCTATATTCAAGTCGTAGGTTCATACAAAGATTTCCTGGATTCATTAATGTTGAGCCTACTTTCACTCCTTTCACTTGAGAGAGTATGTGTTGCCTTCAAATGCATGAGTTGAGCTGAGCTACTTATTTTTTTCTCTTCCGTAGTGGTTGTGCTACAAACGCAGGTTGAGAGAAGAGGAAGTTTCAGTGAAACTACTTCATAGTTGAATTCTAATCATTAGTGTCAATTTTTAATTTCTAATTCGGACGATAAGAACCGTATGCCTCCAACAATATGACAGGAACATGGTTCTTATTTTCAACTTCAGCAAGAACGGAAGCAAAGTTGTTAGCTGTTTTGGACCTGGTATGCAATTCATAATTAGTGCGGTATCCAATTTCAAGCTAATTATTCTAAAATGAAATTATTGTTTTCACAGATAACTTCCATCATCTGGCTCTCACTATGCGCGGCACTAATCTGCGTGCTATATCTTTCTCCGGAAATGCTGCAAGAATTGGTTGATGAGCATCCAGATAGCACTCGGGATCTAGGAAAACTTTTGAAGTTTGGGGGTACACTAATTCAGCATTTAACTTATTGGATTATTTAAATATTTTCCATATTGTATTTTAACACATTTTCAGCGATTATGCAGGCCATAATTTTGACTACTTTGGTTTTGAGACCAGCCATATCGTTCATTTTGGCAATTATGCTTTTGATCGGAGCCCACAAGGTAAGTACATACAGATGTATGAACATAAATTTAAAATGTCGAATATAACGACACGTAAGTGCTGATAAGAATGGTTTTCATAAATTCGTTTTAGAGATGTTATTTGGCAGTCAGAATGTGCCTCGTCTTCTCAGTAATTTACATAGTTATTGACTTAATTCTCCTTCTTCCACGGACAATTTATCTACAACACGGTAGCACCTTTGTGCTAGTGTACATGGTTAACTTTATCTACATGGTGTACCAATGGAGAGTTGTGTACCAACTCATGCAAGATTTATCAGAAGACGAAAAAGGGGAAGAAGAGAATGATACAAATACAGACGACACAGTGGTTATAGAAGCAGATGCAGATGATGCAGCACCCTCTGCATAATAAATATTGTGCAGATTATGAATGATGATTTGAAAATAAAATATTTCCTACTAAAAATGAAATGTAATATCGAAAGTAATATAATATCTACGTAATATCGAATAATAATAAAGGCAAAGCAATTAATAGCAACTAACCGTGCAACATATTCCGCATTCAACGAGTCGAATTAATGTTCCGCTGGGAAGAGAAGTTAGCAATGTAGGAACTTTCACTTTGCCCTCTTTCAGACCCAGTCCCAACTGTCCAAAATGGTTGCACCCAAAAATCAAAACTCGTCCATAGCAGGTTAATAATGCTGTGTGAGAGTGACCGGCAGACACGAATACAATCTTATCCTGAAATGTGAACAACACATTGAAAATCATATAAAAATCATTTTATTATCACATCATAAATAATTATGAACATTATAAACGGCTAATAATGTACCTCCATTTCAATAATTGATGGACAAAAAACATTTTCAACGCTACCAGTGCCTAATTGGCCGAATACACCCCACCCCCATGTCCAGACACGATTAAGATGATCAATTGCACACGAGTGATAGCTGCAGTACATGTAATATATATAATCACTATAACATCCATAGATATGTATAGTGTGCCTGAATACCTTGTACAGATTTAAAAATATTTACCTGCCCGCAGCAATACATGTGAAAATGACATTAGGAATTTCCAAAGGGACAAGCCTACTGTAAATACAATGAATATTTAATATTTAATCACATTAATTGTAATAGGAAATTTTGTCTAAACCAACCCAGTCCAACTAGTCACCCTTCCGAGCCCTAATTGCCCAAACTTGTTGCTTCCCCATACAAGTATTGTCTTAATAATACAACATCAAAATGTTATAAGCGTTTGATAAATAAGTGCATCAGTTTATGAAGAGTAAAGCATAAAAACTTACTCCCACATTTGTCAATGCAATGTTGTGACTGTGTCCAGCACAAACAGATTCAATATACAACTTCATTGTAGCTGGTAGACTGATTGGAGTTGGAACATCCACGTTAAGTTTTCCTTTGTTCTCTCCAAAACCTAAGACGTATTATTCAGACAAATTATATTTAGTTATTATGTCTAAAATACAAGCGCAATTTATTTTCTTTAAAACAGGCCAAAAAACATACCCAAACGGCCAAGCTTGTTTTCACCCCATGTGTACACCCTTCCATTTCTAACACACACGCAATGATTGCTGGACGCTGAAAATGAGTAATTATGTGTATAAGATAGCATCATTGTTGCAATCATATTGTTCTTGTGATTTGCAATCTCTTTCTTCTGGTGAGCACGAGCATCGACTTTAAATACAAATTGTGGTAGCCGCATTGTTTTAGGCTCTTAAAAATCAAATAATTGTTTATATTATACATTTATATTGTTTATGAATTGATCAAAATTATTTTACTTACTTCGTCGAACAGCTTCGATAAGGATGATCATGAAAAGACTCACATAGTCATCTACCACTATCCGTTCAATTTCCTACAACAATGATATTGGTTACAATTTTATGTATATATTGACTATATCGAATTATTAAATTGATGGTAAGTAATGAATTGATGTACCGGAGAAACAGTAAAGTCAATAATGTTAACTATGTCCGAGACCTCTGTAAATATTTTCCGCTGGAGCTCCCTTCGCCATGGAAGAAGAAGTATCAAAAGTTTCAAAATCATTGTCGACGTAAATCTTCTTAAAAATTTCCAAACCAATGCTCGGAACCAGATAAAAACTGATGGATCTGTTGTATACATTGCTAGCCAATCAATGGTTAAGAGATTCCAGAATACTGTAAAAACATTGTAATGCAACAAAAAATTATATATGTAATGATACATAGAATGGACCAATGGATTAAACAATTTAAAAGCTTACATTTCTTTGAGTAAAAATATGGAACGACTTTGGCTTCGTTTGTATGCAGACAATTTAAAATGTCTGGATAACAGCATCGACATTGGCCGACCAACTTAAGAGCCCACAGTAACTCTGGAATAGCGAGATATTGTGCAGCCTTAGGAGATGAATAGTGTACATTGGTCAACAACATCTTCCTGTTGAAAAATAAAAATCACAAATTGTCATATCGCGTCAGTTATAGGAATGGTAGCCTAGTCATGTGTGTATATACAAAGTAAATCTGTTACCTTAATAATAATTCGGGATTCTTTGGAAGTTCTGATCTAACAAGGCCGTACCGAAGGTATTGCTAAAAAATAATATTTAAGAAGTGTTTAATACACTAGTCAGTAATGTCGAATGATCCATTACGTTATTATATTATTCTGCACGTTACACACCTCGATTCGACCTAGCAGGGCGAGATCTGTCATCAGCTTACGGTCTTGTGTACTTCCAGCCTTTGCTCTTTCTTGGTCAACAAGTTCATAAAAGAATAACATTGCAGGAATCTGACCTCTGGATCCAAATTTTGCACATATTTGTGCATAAGAGAGCTAAACAATTGTATTAGTATTTACAAATGTTTTCTGATTATAATGTTACATTTTTTGAAAAGGCAATAAACTCACGCTCACCCCAGCTAATTTATAGTAAATAATTGTCTTTGAAAACTTCAGTTCAAAAGAACAAACATCCCCTGCCATCACACAGACTTGATTTTTTGGTACGTTCAATGCAGCACAAACTGCATCAATTGCATTCCCTCCTGATTCAGATAACATGAGTTCTACACACGTTTCCAATGGCGTTCTTCTGGAAATTTTAACGTCCCACACAATGAAGAAATACAATCACCCAACTAACAAAACTAATGCTTATTAATTAGCACTACTTGCCTTAGGTTCATTTCAAAAATGCCGTTGTCACAAATTAGAAACACTGTGTATGGCGTCCCTTCCTCGCCAAACGGTTCAATCGCCAAAATTGTATGAGTAAATGGAATACACGCAAATTCTTTAAACTACACAACCAAGCATTAATTAGTTGACACATTACTTATATTTTTAGTTTATTCAATAGTATGTATATAAATAAAAAAGACTTTACTCACCACACTATCAATTATGATGGAAACCTTAAGACAATGGCTATCTTGGTCAACAGCAAAATACATACGTTGGATGGCAAATAATTTTGTCACGGAAGGTGGAACATAAGTAGTTGCCGTTTGTCTAAAATCTCCATCAAACAACTAGACATAGAATAGAACACATGCTTACTAACAATAAAATTCACAATTACCGATATAATTTATAATTCAAAGACTTACATCGAGTTTATTGTTACCGTGTCGAAAGAACTGATTTTGTCTCATAATTTTCTTAACCAGCCCACGAAACGTTTCGTCAATTGTTTGAAATTTTACATTGCTTAATGGAACAGATGAAGATTTTTGAGAGCTGACATGTCCAACAATTACGGACGGTGCAACGGTTGTAGTAGAGAGCACACTTTGAGCGACATTTGTCAGAGAGTTGTTTGGACTTGCACTAGTTTCTTTATTGGATTTTTTGCCAAAAAATCCCAATTTCTCTTCAGATAACCGAGACAAGAGATTATCCTTCGCTTTTCTAAATATTGACTTTTTTCCTTGAGATTCCACCTAGAACAAAACGTAGCCAAAGTTATTTTAGATAATATAATAAGCCGTAACATCTAAACGGGGGTCAGAAATAATATCGAATTATAAATATTGTATTAGTCTAGTCCACAGCAATTTTCATGGACTTCATCATGAAGACAATTCGACTAGATTCAGCCTGGGAGATTACGACCCAAAATAAATTGTTTACTGCTACTCAATAAATAAATCTTTTTCATACCATATTTGTATCAGGGAGATCTAGGTCGTCCAAAATTGTATAAACATTTTGACCACTTTCTAGGCACACCTAAAAATAATTCACTCATTCATGCACCGAAATTTCATTAATTATTTAACTCAAACATGTGTAGTATTCGACTTACCAAGGCACAGGTTAAGCCTGCTTTATTTGTAAAAATATCAACACTGTTTATGTTGGAAGTAAAGGTTACCAGAACCGGGGGTGCATGATTTGTTAAGATAACAAATTTGTTATTTTCACCACTACACAATATAACTTTGTTACTCTCTTGGTTATATATTAGCATGTGAAGTATCTGAAAATAAAGTAGATTTAGCTGTAAATTTGGCAAAAAATATCTTGCAGATTGATTAACATAAATACATAATAAATTACTGACCCTGATATTATTTAAGTGACAAATTTCCAAAATATCAGTTTCGGGAAGGATGGACAAAGAACCCAAAACCTTTCTAGTCCGTAGCTCCAAAACAGTCCCATCCCATGCTAAGTAAAATGCAAATAACGCAGCAATTTTAGAATAAAAAGTCTAGTTTCTTATGCAAGATTAAATCAACATGCGTACTTCCAAGAAATAGGATTCCTTCGTCATCAAATGCCATGGCCGATACTCTCTTTCCAGGATCGTTGAACCAGGGAATATGTTTCAGAGTCCAGCCCTTAATAGAACCATCGAATGGGAATTTGTGATCACTGACGAGGAGCAGGTCACCAGAGCTAGAGCACGGGTCAAATAAAAATAGTTTATTCCATGAAACTGTAGGAGAGCTTAACTAACAATGTTTCTACCTTTTAATGTGCAGTGCAAAAAAGTTTACATCGCCTTCGGAATGTTTCGAATAGAGTTCGATCTCATCTCCTGTCGGGATTTCTAATCGGTGATGAAGTTCAAAGATATCCTTGGCTCCGCCGCTCAAAGTCGTCACTGCTGCTGCGACTGGTGGTGGGGTCGTCGTCGTCGTGGCTGAGGGAGTCGCCACAGTGGTACTCATTCTTACAAATCTCAAAAGTTTTCAGCCTAAACACTGATAATACAATTCTACCAATGTTGATAGCTCTTCTTTTTCAACTAAAACGTTACGTCATACTTATAGTACAGTACTTACAAATCTTAAATACTAATTATGTATCACTTCTCTGGGAAAGGTAATCAATTCACAGACTGATTTAGTATTAGTTGCTGACTAGTAGAAAGCATTTTAAAATTTAATTCGTGAAAATATACCACCGTTTCTACATAAATCTATAAATTTTAAGGATGTCTTTGGACTAAAAAGCAAAAATTTTGGGTTAATTATTATTAAATTAAAGTTGCGTTTTTATTTGATGATCCCCAGCCAAATTAGTAAACGCGCAGTTGTTGGGATCAGTTGGTTTTGTTTGTTGATATGCAACTGGCCATGATTTTATTTTTATGGAGAAATTTGAGTGTCCTGGGAAGCATAAAAATCGACCGGGGTGATGAGTCTATGGTGCTTTCCCTACTTTCTCCCTTGGCAGGTACCACGTAGTGTGTATTTAATTATTAATTAGTGATGCTATCATGAAAAATATAGTTGAATAATTTTGCAAAATTTTCTGTTAGAATTTTTTACGATTTATTCGAAATAGCTAGCAAATTAAACTAATGAGAATCGTATATCTAGCAACTAATTAAAAACTATTATGCAAATTGGAGGGGGGTGCAGTGAAATGGAAGTGTGAGGATTCGACTCCCATTTGTGCCAGTGAGAATTCCACCGACAATTTTCGGCCTGTGGAAGGGATCACGGTCATTTTCGGATTTGAGGCAAACTCTTGCATGGCATGAATCGACTTCTTTGTTCCTCGAGGTTTAATGCAGCAGAGGAGATTCTATGAATGTAGTAATTAATTTGTGTCAATCAATTTAATAAAGATTACGTGAAATAAATTATACTAAAACAATGCATTTCTTACCGGTTGGCTCATATTGTGAAGAAATGTCGGAGTTGGTTCGAAATCAATTTGATCCATTGAGGTCTGTAGATATAGGCGTAAAATGTTTCTGGATTGTTTCAGATGACTGCTTGGTGCTTTTCCTGGTGGTTTTTGCAGGAGTGATCAGGAGGGGGAAATGTCCAGAATTTATACTGGAAGCAGTTGTTATCATGCATTATAGGTTTTTTGTTTAATAGGAAGTTGTATGCAAATTGACGACGTAAAAGTGAGCCAGTAGGAGTTTCAATGTAATTGTTTTTGTTTGATGTAAAAAAGGATGCTAAATATTTATATAATTATGTTGAACGTCCCAGGATAGAACCAACATTAAACAAATGTTGCTAGTATTGGTTATCAGTAAGGAAGTGTCGCTCAGGATGTATGTACATAGCTTATACTCGTTTCAATTCTTCAATTTTACGCATAACAGAATAGAGAGGTTGAGCGAGAGTACAAGATTGTAAAAAAATGATTGTAGCTAGAATCACAATCGCAATCTATGATTGTATTTTCTTGAGGTTGAGCAAGAATATCTTATGGGAGGATTGTAATTCTCATTAATTTCCGGCGGCAGATTTGAAATTCCTGTAAGTTGGATATATGAGTACAATACAATGATGCCTGGAGACGGAGATTTGTAATCCTGAATTTGACTAAAAGTCTGACTAATTTTGATTTTCCCGCTGTGTTTACAATCGCAAAATGCAATCATGTACTCTTGCTCAACCTCTCTAATATGTATGTAAATATATGTATCAATCATGCCAGTATGTGTTTAAAAGTGTATGTATGCCCTGTTCAAAGATGACTCAAGCAAAGTCTCTATCCAATTAAAATTTAGTGTCTAAAACATCATCCGACATAATAAATTTATTGGAAAACCTGTGGGGTGATTTTTGAAGATCCAATCATTACCAGGTGCGACTGGTCGTTGTTGTTATTGAATGAAATGCAAATTGCGTAGCACAATTTACTATTGAACAAATAATGTGCGTTTTCGTATAATAATCAGTTAATCAGTCATGCACTGTACGTGCAGCGTAAAAAATGGAATGAATATGCAGAGACAGAACGAGTTAGTACACTTGGTATTTATTTATAAAACGTGTGTTGACTTATCTCGATCAATGACACTCATTTGTTGACTCTGATGTATTCAATGTTTTTATGTGCGATTGAGATTCAACAAGTTGTGTATGTCCGGGAAATAATACTTGTCTAATATTTAGATTAATTCTAGATTTAGCAACATAACTTGATAAAAATTCAGTCCAGTCTACATTAAGAGAACAATCATTATTTGTTTCGAGATGTTCTAATTTTAGACGCTTATTGGTATTGTTTGTCTGTGGAGATATGATTTTTGAAGAAATCCAGGGACAATCTTTGGATTGAAATATTTTAGGAACCCTTCAATCAAATATTTATAACATAAATATAAATTCAAAAATGTCGCGCGTATTTAACGATTACAATTTTGTACTCACCCGTGATATGCTAATCTGCTTTCTCCTGACATGACAGCAACATCGCCACTACGTAATAGAATCGCTTGAGGCTTCACGGACTTCAATCTAGCACCAATTAAAAATACTGCAGGTTGCCCAAAACTAAAAATTAAGAAAACAGAACTAAAATATTAGGCGCCGTCCATAAATTACGTAACGCTGGCTGACATGAGCAGGATAGGGAAAAAATCCTATCTTGCCCATGCTAACCAGCGTTACGTAATTTATGGACGGCGCCTTATCTAGTCTCAAACAATACTTAATAATAATAAATAGTTTCGGTAACACCAACCTTAGTGAAAACAACGGTGCACCTTGATTAGCTTCAGACCTATCTACGTGACCAGATAGTGTAGAGTCTAAATGGTAATAATTTGCTATTGATGCTTCCGCTTTGAAATCTGGAAATCCCAACACTTCAGCCATAAACTTTGTAAGACCTGCTAAATCTGGAGGAAATTCACATTGGTTATCTTCAGAGTAGACCTGCATAAAAAACATGATATTTTATTACTGGTAATACGTATAATTCATCTAAATCACTTATATTACCTTGCTATCCCAATTATGGTGATATCCAAATGTTACCCATCTCAATTTCTTGAAAAACCCTTCCGCGTCCAATTTATCTTTGATTGATTTACCTTCTTTATTCTCCAAGTTATCAATATTGGTAATATGAGGTGATTTGGGGAAATCGATCACGCTCCTCCTTATCCAATACCTCTGGCCTTTAGGAGTGAATGGATTCCTTATCAATATCAACCCTTTAATAGATAATACGATATATGTATATAATTTCGGTGTACATATCATGATGCGTAATACAATTATTTTGGCATTATTACTAACCATCTGGAAATGTCAGTTGGTATACTTTCCACGTCGACGGGTGACAAAGTCCAAGCCGGTCGGCCAAACTTTCATTCGTTGATGTCATCTTGCTGCTGTGGGTAAGAAGACATCGTTCTTGCAATAACTTGTCCCATAATTCCGCTGCATCGTCTTCCGAACCGGTCGTCGGGTCAAGCAGGATGGATGTATCTATGCCTTCATCATCACAAAGGGACGCTTTCCTACTTTTGTCTAGCTTTTTTAAAGATCCAGAATGCGACTTTGATTCTCTCCGAGAGTGAATAAAATCTGTTGCAGGATTTTTACACAATTTAAATTTTTTAAAGCTGACTTTAAACAAATCGTATTCGGATTCAGCTTGGTCACTAATCATTGCAAGGGATAAATTATCTTTAACAACGTTATCCACTTTTTAGTTAATTGTTAAAGACATTGAAATAATTTCATCGTTGATAAATTCTGGAGTTTCAGTTCAGTTTGTGGAGAAAGAGTGAATAATGAATACGGTATGAAAAATGTGTGCGAGTGAAAGTCATATTTTTCCCACAATCACAAAACGACGGTGTTAAACGAGAGACGTACATACATATGTATGTACAAGTAGAAGCTACAAAATGCGACATTTTTTGCAAAAATGAGACAAACGAACAAATAATTTAAAAATTTCTCCATTGTCTCAGCCTCAACCAGAGTGTGCAGTCAATTTAAATATGAATATCTTATTTTTTAGTTTGCTATGAACTTTAATGTTATATATGCTTAATGAATCATTACTAATGTAAAGTATGACGAGGAACATATGCATGTACAAACATACATACATATTCATGCATAAGGTGGATTTTTTGTCTAAAAATGACAAATTCAGCGAAGCGTTAAGAGCTTGTTTTGAGAGGGAGCTAGAGATTGACCCTACGTAAGGTTTTGGGCCGGCTGCTGCTGAATAAGAATGCGGTAATAGCCTGGCGTAATAACAGTAAGGATGATGATGAGGACATCAACATTTCCATTGAAATTAATGTAGTGTAAAGGAACGTTGAGGGGGAATGGAATGAGAATGACGATATGCGTGTGTGCTTTGCGTGAGTATGTGTTTGTTGTGGCACTGAGAAAATGGGACATTATCTCGTTGGAGAAAGCACAAGAGTGGGTCTTTGATGTGCTTATGGCCATAGGTGTGGGTCGTCTCATAATTTGAGGATATTTTTGCTTTCACCACTACCACCAAGGATCCATTAGTTAGAGACATATTGTTGTATGGGGACATTTTCATTTATGTAGAAGAAGAGCAAGTTTTATTTAGTCCCCTGCTGAGAACCAAGAGCTGAAAAATGTTTGGATGAAGCCGTGATTAATTAAGTGTGCATGGTATTTATTACTTCTTTGTTTAGATACTTTCTTTCTCGAAATGAATATTGGAATATTTGAATTATTATGCAGTATTGAATTGAATTAATAAGCATTATTACATGATAAGCATAGATACATTTACGAATTTGGTGGTGATATTGATTCCACCGTGAAATGACTAGTAAGTCACCACAAGTGCATTGTTATATGTACGTATCTGTTAAAGAAATCCAGATTTTGCTTCCATTCTACTTTGCTATATTATTCTTGCAAAGCGTAGAAAAAATGTCTTTCATCAGAACATTTCTCCCTTTTCTCCCCTCTTGACGTATTTTGAGCCATTCTTCCACAATCCTTGGGTTTTGACAAGCCTTTCTTTTTTCTTGAGGAAACTGTGACTTGAAAATGGGATCAGTGGAGTTGAATGTTATGTGATGATAGAATTTAAGCTAAATTTGAGCAGTTGAAGTGGATTGGATTTGAATTGAGGATTTGGTTTGCTATTCGGTTCAAGATTTCTACAATTTCTCCAGTTTGGTTACTGCAGGATGGAACCAAACGAAGATGCATCCGATGCATGGGAAATGTTTAAAGTAAGGAATGATTTGATGGTTGCCTTTCTTTAGAGATGTGTATAGGGTCGTATCGTGGAGTCGTGGAGGGTGGGACATGGATCTGTGTGGATGTCGATAAGCCTGGATGGAATGCAAGATGGATTTTAGACGAGACGAGGGATGATTAAGATGATAGACAAGAAAGGAAATTGTAATGGAAAAAAGATTCAAGAATCTTTGGTCGTTGCTCCAGCTAAAGCCATTAAACGGCACTTTGTTGAAAAGAAGGACGAGGGCTTTGCTTCATGTGATGTAATATTCGCCTCAAACTTGTATTGATGGTAACATTTTCGTCGGACAGTTTGTATTGCGGAGGAGCATAAATATGTATGTATATAAATACATAGAATATAAGGATGAGAATAGGATGTTGATGGATTATGTCATGTCTGTGGTAAATACATACATACACGTGTATGAAAAATGGTTAAAATGAAAATAAGATATGCGGTGTATTTGACTTTAGTTCAACCTATGTAATAGTTATCAAATTAAATAGCATGCAATATGATAACAGTATGTGACTATGTTACTTGTGTATATGCAGAGGCAAATAAAGACTATAAAGGAAGTCAGGCACAGTTTTAATATTTATTTATGTTTTCAATTAATTAGTTACACAAGTTAATTTAATACGTAGTCTACATATATAAATATGTGCTCTATATAAAACTAGAAAGTCCGCACCTAATCAGTCGTTAACAGCACCATTGCTATAATTGTGTATGTATCACTGTATATCCTCACCGTAGATCGTATCATTGGTTCATCAATTGCTATATGTATTTATGATGAAGGCAACAAACGGCTCATCAAACATCCCATCACCTTTATCACACCTGAAATATGAAAAATCAACATTTAACAGCATGCAAAAATTTATTATTATGCGAATATGCCCACATCCATTTTTGGATGTAAGACATCATTTTTTAAGAAAAGCAATACAAAGTTTTTTTATGATTATATGGTCTGTTTCCCCACTGTATTAATGTACTTACTTGGGGGAAAGTTCGCGAGTGAATGTATATATGTACGTACCCAAGAAGAATAGTAATAACGGAGTGGTCTGTTTGTTGGGAAATATGACATTTCTTCCACCATTGCTGAAAGTGGATGAAGTGACGTGATTTATTTGTCGAGTAAAGGTGAAGCTCGCGTGGAATCCGGTCCTATCTGCCCATCTATCATTCGATCTGAAAGTTAACCTAAGAAACTTGGCTGGCGGACCTCCACCACTGATCCGAAGGTTAGGACTGGATATGTAACCACACCTCCTCCAAAATCTGGAGTCTGTCGGCATAAAAGAGTAGTCGCCCCATTCCACGTAATCATCCCACTCCTTGTCGCATCTAGATCAAAAGCACACAAATTCAAGTTGCAGATATACTAACTTTCCCCATGTAAGCTGATAATTTCTCCAATTAGTAAATACATTAGACTGAATAAGTACGTACGCATATTTTTCTGTGCTATTGGAAAAGTACTCATATTTAATAGAAGATAAAATATAGGATCGCAAAAGCTGAAATAATCCACATATTTTTCACACGTATTACGTACGGTCTAGACTGTGACATCGCCTTTTGTGCGACAATCCATCAGAAAGAATAAACACTCTGTGCAGTGGGCTTACTATTAGATTTTTACCCAGTATCGATATCACGAAAAAGTCACAAAATTTTATGTTGTTGAGATTTTGCCAATATTTTGTTTTGGCAGAGGTTCTTCATTCCCAACTGTTAATGCATTTCGGCTCAGCTTTCCACTCCACATGTATACTTACTCCTTGTGCTAATAATTTGAGCCACTCGAAATGGTACTACAGAAATGCTCCGTCTGACAAAAATCCCAAACATTTTTGTTCAGGAGCACAAACGAGAATAGTGGATGTGACAAAGTTGAGTAATAGAAATAGACAATGGCCAAGAGCAAGAAAAATAGTTTTATGCCCATTTCCATCTCATGGACCAGTAATAAACGACGTGTACGCGTACATTATTGGCGCTGTGAGGTTGTTCATAAGTTTGCACATAAAGTGTAACTTTGAATGTTAAAAAGTCCAATAAAACTTGGATAACTCGGAATTAATATGATAGTCTTTCTTCCTACGCACCTACCAAAACTTTTTAACTTTCTATGCACTTTTTTTATGTTTTATGAAAATCTTATCGTAACCTTCTACTCGTACTCATTCACCGCTGTCATTCATAAGTACGGTGGCGTATAGGAAAATGACAGAGTGAGATAACTTACGGATAACTTCCAGCAATGTCAAAATAGTCAAAGGACAGTTCGACGGCTCCTTTTTCGTCATTTCCATGAAAAAAGTAGTGACACTCAGTGGCTCTGGGATATATTCCTGGAAAATTTGGGGACGAAATGGTTCCATTGGGATGAGATGATATGTTAAAAATGAATGCACACGGGTATTCAATCGCTTGAAGACCACCAGTTTTCACCCCGAAATCTGTCAAAATTCCAATAACCACGTCAGTTCGCAATATTAATTCTCTCTGCACTGCGGATAAAATGCATTGCCATCATTCATCATTATTGAGATGTGTGGATATTTTGTCTTATGAAAACGAGAAGGTATCACGACCCGCAATGGTTACATATTTATATCGATTTACCTTCCACAAAAGCATAATGCGCGTAAAACCCACGAAAAGGTGGCGTGGTCGTGGACGCTTTGGCATTGAATTCTAATGTAAACCGATGGTCATTAGACATCATATCTAATAAAACAGAATCCACAATTATATTTTTTATGTAATTACACGGTAAAACTTTGTGACCACTTCGGTTTAATTACCTGGTGGAGGGTTTAAACCACAGTGTTCTAAAATACGAACTCGCACTCCATTCATATAAACGAAGGCAGAGATAGTGTCACTAAAGGCACATCTGAAAAAGCACGCCAAAAATTTTCATTACACACAATTTTTCCGTATTAAGATAAAGCAATAACAGTATTTGAATCCGCATTTTATGTAATTATCTAACATAATATAGTACAGTTGACAGTATTGCTAAGTTCATACATGTACTATACATAACCAAACTCACATGACTCCATGATTAGAAAAACAGAAAACATGTGCGCCCAATTTCAACATCATTAGTCCTTTATAAAGTTTAAACTTATGTTGGCTTTTGGAAAAAACTTCTTTAACTCAAGGATTACAGCGATACGTATTACTACAAATACTGTATATATGAAGCCCATAGTTGTTGTTAGAGTTGTATGTATTTAGTAGTGGATGTAAAAGGGCACACAAACTATCAGGAAAGCGTATCGTGGATTTCCAAACCCGAAAAGGAGAAAGACACATTAAATAGTAACAAGCATGGAATCCAACAAACTCCTGTAGGATCCGACAAACATAATATTTCCATCAGGCCGTTCAGTCTCAAAACTCAAAAGTAAAAGTCTTTGGTGGTTACTTTCTCTTACTTTCTTTTGGTTATTCGGAAGGAAAATTGACACACATACGCAGGTGATTCTACATGATGTAGATTTAACTATGTAGATGCGTGTAACTATGCACAGATTCAACTATGGGTTCTGCGCTAAATATGCAAGTGTAGAAATGTCATCTTGGAATTAAAATTAAGTGTTGCATCTTTTTGTGTTAATTTATTTTGTACACGGAACTTGTGGTTGGCCCTTTCTCCCAAGTTTGTGGCACGTTCCTGAGCAAACCAACACAAGAAAGTTGACAGTTGACACTGAAGACTGAAGGCTTAGAAAAATAAGAGGAGTTCAGTGCAGTAATAATATATTTGAACGTGTTGTTGGGACTCACTGGGTAGACATAAGACCGAGCGTAGTACGGTGGGTCCTGCACCCTAATGCATAGATAGGCGGGTGAGAAGAGAAAGTGGGAGCCAAAGAAAGTCAAAAGTTGGTTGGTTAGATTTCTTATTAGTTTGTTTGTTTGTGACATGAAGTTAAATCAGAGGAAGTGGAAAGTAAAGTATTGCTGAAGGAATAAGGCGGAGACAGGCAGGGCAGATGCACGTGAGATCCGATGGAATGGAAAAGTCACATCCACACCAGCAAAAGTTCTAAACCATGGGAATCCTCGATAGAATGGAATAACATGTATTTGTCTCACAGAGCCACAAAATATAATCAGAACTTTCTTAGCTAGTTATCACACAAAACTAGGATCAGAATTGCTAATTAGTAAAGAAAAGAATATTAAGTGTTATTATGTATAGTAAATTTGCTTACTTTGAGTCACCATCTCCATTCTCGGATGAGTTTCTAGAGTGAAGTCTTGGGATGTACAGTTTTTCATCCGTGTGAAATAAGTGAAAGTCTACAAAAGATATTTGAACTCGTTGTCTCCCATGTCCTGCAAAAATTTGTGACCCATGAGAAGAATATATTTGCAAATGATATAAAAGTATATAAATACCAATAAAGTCGAATCTGCAGTGAGATTTCGGCTGGTAGGGATTCGGATATCCATGGCTAGAGAAAGTGCCATTCCTTGCAGTGTCAGAGTGAATAACTTCGTCGCATTGTGGAACTAAAATCATACGGGTGACAGGAACATTTTAGAATTCCGAAGTATAAATAAATCAAAACATCGAAACTGTACTATTACTTTGTAGAAACATAAATATTGAGAAAGCATCAGCCATCAGCAGCTGTATTAGGCCAACTGATAGAATGTATTGTAACCGAAATCAAATTTGAAGCAAACCAGGTTCATCCAGTGTCGGACATTTTATTCTTATTGTGCAAACATTTGATTAAACTTTATACAGCAGGTGTTAACCATGAAAAGTTATTGTATCAACGAAAGTAATGACACTGCCGGATAATAATGTCCATCAAACGGGAGCAGCATAACATTGGCTTTGTTGAACGGTTTTGATCCTTGAAACTGATGAACCAAGGCTGCAACCTGCATCACCCGGTAGATTTTGTGGGTTGGTGGATGGATGAAAGAGATCAAAGAGAAAGTACGGAGACAGCAGAATTCGTGAATGAGCGAGAGATAAATGGATTCGTCCTCATCCAGACATGTACTTACACTTAATACTTAATGCTATTACTACTATTACTTATTTTACTGTCATGTAGTGCTATCCAATCCTTGTTCATAGTGGACACACAGGCTTTTTAAACCGACGCAGTGTAAATGATCACATTGAATGATACGGGCGGTCGTGTTCCGGTCAAAATAACATGGCACCCCCCGTAGGGATTTGATATTCATCCGGAACGAGCGATATCGTATGGTCATGCAGCAGCTATTCGAAAGATATATGTACACTCGTATGTATAACGTCAATCCAATGAGGGTGTATACTTATATGTAGTGTAGTAGTGCTGGTGCATAAGTTACTTCCAGGGCCTGAACACAGTCAGTACACTTTAAATGTGCAATACACGTCGACACACCATTTGGTCCACTTTAATTCTCACTGAACTCAAGATTAATAGAAAATTGTGTTGTGCTCATGTGGGACGTGCCTTGTACTGTACTCCTCTCTGAACTAAACTTGGCTATGCATTGTCACACACACTTGGAAAGAAAATAGAACCACAACTTTGAGATAAATATTTTCATTTCAAGTAAATTTCCAAATTTAAAACTTCTTTGTTGCATTTTAAAAGTTTTTGGAGTTTTGGAGTACAATTGTATTCCGAAAAGGCAACAAAAATTGCAACGACCCTTTATGAATATTTAGAATTTCACTTTTAGACCCAGAAACTCCCTTTATCTCAGGAGGGGAGGTTGTGTACTATCAACTCTCCGATCTCGATGCCCTTTGGATATGTGGTAGTGTCCCATGAATGAACAAGAACCCTGAAGTGGTTTAATGCCATGGCCACATTTGCGCCCGCCACACCCACTCAAAGGTGCCTAAAAATCGCTTTCACTCTAGCTTTCACTCATTCAAAATAACGCCAAAAATCCAATTTTACTCCGATTTTCAAATTTATTTCACCATTGTACTCCCAGATAGTTGCTCTCTTATAAACAGCATCAAACTCAACTTTTTTGATGATTATCTCGCAGAAATAATTTGTTTTGTTGATTTCCACAACAATGCTCATTCAGAATTTTAAATTTTAAAAATACTAAGAATTCCAAAAAGTTGAATTTGATGTTGTATATAAGAGAGCAACTATCTGGGAGTATAATGGTGAAATAAATTTGAAAATCGGAGTAAAATTGGATTTTTGGCGTTATTTTGAATGAGTGAAAGCTAGAGTGAAAGCGATTTTTGGGCACCTTTGAGTGGGTGTGGCGGGCGCAAATGTGGCCATGGCATTAAACCACTTCAGGGTTCTTGTTCATTCATGGGACACTACCACATATCCAAAGGGCATCGAGATCCGGGAGTTGATAGTACACAACCTCCCCTCCTCAGTTCGCGAGACCGGTACATACCAGCAGATCTGTGTATGTAGCTCATCCAGAAATGGCGAAGGAGTCCGTGTTACCCAATGATGATGAGTTACTGCCAAGGGATGCTGCCATAGAGTGTCGAGGTAAAACTCCTACATGCATACATATGTACTTTTCCCTGCTGGCTCGGATCTGTATCAAATAATATGTCTCTTACGGCACGAGCACGTACATTTTCCACAAGAACGAATTAACTTTGTTAAACTAGAGTTGACCACTGCTATCACCAAATTACTAGCCGTGGAATGGATAAGACTGGCCAACCAACCAGAATGTAATCCAACCAAACCAATATCTGATGGCCTTAATTTTACTGAATCGATTTTTACAACACTACATTTTTTCCGCTCGATCCTTTTGGTCTTTGCCATACGTCTTCTCACGCTTGGTTTATGATCAAAGTGCTTTCACTGTCATGCCATTCACTCCATGCCGACTACCGAAGAAGCAGCAGCTCAACGAGAAAACCTGGCTCAAGAAATCTTAACTTGCAGTGGATGATGTTTTCAACCCTACCTACGGACATATGAATATGTGTGCTTTTTGAAGGCAAAGCACACACCAAACAGGAGGATACTACTTGGAGGTAAAAAAAGATGAGCGTAAAAGTGCGGATGGGCCTTGAATATGAGCAATAATCTTACACACAAAGTAATATGGGTAAAAAATTGGAGAAAGCAAAGCAGGCCCGTTTTTGGTTTACGTTGGCAAACAAGAGGCACTGGGAAAAGACCACCCTCTGCATATGTACATGCACACGAGGTGGAACTGGAATAATGCCCATCCAACCGCAACTAGCCAAACGGACTTTTATGGCAATGTTTGCTACAAAGCTGCCTAATAGAAAGGTGCAGTAAATGCTGATATATAAACATCAGGACGGCCAAGAAATGAAAAGCCTCCGTTTTAGTGCAAGGGTTGTGAAAAACTGGATTTATCTTGCTTGATGAGAATAGCGTTGCACAAGATGGACAAACACTGGATGTGTGTTTCTACTCTTTCGAAATTTTGTATGCATACACATGTACTTTTATACACATATGTATGAATAAATTCGTGGTAGTAATTTTTTTTACTTTTACGACTTGATATTTTACGCGAAAGCTTGCACAACACGTCTTTCATGATTAATTGTTACATAATCAGGTACACTGTTATATTTGGAAATTGGTGCCTCATACAAGGAAGAGGAGAACGTTACTTATGCATGTAAAGGTAATTAGAGATGTCAGTTGTGACTTATAACTTCTTTGCTAAATTCAAGTGAGTTGTCTGTTGACATTGATTTGCATTAACTTCAAGAGTTGGTTGCACTGCTAACTATCCCAAATTCAACTAAACTTTCAGATGATAACTTGGACAGAATCGCTCAGCCACTTGACTTATTAGACAGAACTCCATTGCTTCCAGATATAATTGCTTTGCTAAGTTAATTTGAAAATGTGTCTGTCGAAAATCTGCTTTCACTTTCGAGGATGTCGTACATGCCATGGAATAGGACTGCATACGTATATATTTTCCATTAGGCAACTCGTGAAAGTTATTAGCATTGACATTTCTGCTGAATTATTAATTTAACTGAATAATGATGATTTCAAGTGTCAACTTAATGAATTTTTCAAAATTAATAAAGTTAATCCCGACACTGTCCTCGCATTCGTTTTGCCTTCTCGTCGTCATCCTAATTGAATCATCAAAATATTAGATGAGTGTTCTCCTGACAAACTTTTTCCTAATTCTAAACTTTCCTAGTTTCAACTTTGATTTGAGTGAGAGTAGCAGTCTGATGAGTTAAGTAGTTCGCGTTACTTATTCCATATATAAAAGTACGCCCTGTCTGCTCCACTGATCTGAAACCATGGTATGGCAGAATAAGCATATAGTAAGCACGTCTAGTAACTCCATGGTTGATACCAGAAAAGAATCGCCATTCATAATATTTTGAGAAAATGTATAGAGAAAGCACTATCAACTCTCCTTTCCTGTTTTAACTTTGGGTTCTGCGTCAAAGCATAAGATTGAGAACGTAAGTAAGTAGGAAGCCATTTTCGTACGATTAAGGAAGTTGAGGAACAAGGTTCAAGTTTATAAGTAAGGCGATGACGAGGGGTGGAGTAGGGGGATAAAGTCTCGTTTCGCTTCAGTGGCTTCTTCCCTTCCTCTTAATTTAGAACACTGGTGAAAACTTAAGGAGAGGCCATCAGTCAACTGTGATGATCTTCTTCATATCCAAATAATAATCGCATCATTTCATCCTATGATGAAAACCAAATAATGCACTGCCAATATCTCAGCAACCATATATTTAGGACGTAGAAACATATTTACGAAAGTAAAATTAAGTATAAAACTCAAATTTTATCAAAATTATACATAAACCCTTTGTAATATAACCAGTGCTGAATGATGGGTTATCGTAATTATCTCCAAAACCTTGTTACTCTTTTTATCTATTCTATAAATAGACACAAGAAAGCTTAAGGAAGACTAAGATTCGAGTCCGTCTCACTCTTTGGAGGAGATGAGCTGTACTAAATTTCAACATAAAACGGGTGAATAAAAGGCTGGAGAAAGTCGGCTCTCTTGGTGGAAATGTTAACTCACCTAAAGTGGAGGCTTGAGGCTCTTGACCATCTTCCCCCACTGGCTTGGGAATGTCTGAAAGCAATTCAATGCAAATTCTTTGTTAACAGGCACTCTGCTTGCAACATTAGTGAATAGCAGTGTGTTGTTCAAGTTTTTGTTCGTAAGGAGCTTGGGCAGTGGTAGTGGTGAGTGGGGATATGTACGTACGTATGTAGGTGGGCATACACCACAAAAGCTAACAACTTGCCAAGTCAGCTTGGGTTTGGGTTCGTTAATGTGATCTCTGTTGTGTAATTTGTGAAATATTCCCTGACAAGGACTGCAACGACGAAGCTCAAATGGTTTTAACGGAGGAATTCGAGTTAAGATTGCGTCTACGATAGTGTGTATCCCCGTCCATACGGAACTTGCGAGTCGAAACGGTCATACTCTCTCTGTGTTCCAGCTTTCACTTTAGGAACTAAGCAAACTAATGAGTTAACGACAGTGGGTTATGGGGAAGTACGAAGAACCAACCAAATTACGGCTGAACTAATTAATTCGGGTATCTCCTGCTCAAAATATATTTCAATTTTTGCAAGTATTTAGCATATAGCTACATAAACATTATGTGATTGTCGATTCTCCAGCTACAATAAAATAATATCATGTATTCCAAATATATTTGATAAAAAATGTAAGTGCTTAAATAAATATTTTCAAAACTGGTGAGCGTTTTTTTGCGAGATCAAGGAAGTACATAGTAGACAAGCCAAGGACTGACGTGTAAAACGCGTAATTTAATAAATTTAATGCTTAATTTAACTTACCCATTTTGGGGAAGTACTGCTGTAAATTGAATCGCATAGGGTCGTATGGATCGGAAAAATCGTCGTAAATTACTTTAATGAAGTGAAATTTGGCCCTGAATCCCATTCCTGTCTCATCAGAATTCCCGATGAATTCAATTCTTAACTCTTGGCCACTGGACAGTATCTGAAAGTGAAAGTGGTGTGAAAAAAGGACAGGAAATAAAAGTATGGGATTATAGACAACTTATAGACAACATAATATTATTACATATACTTCGTGTATGGAACTTCAGTGTATAGAACTTGAATAGAACGAGCGATGAATGCACAAAATGAACAATTCATCAGCATAATAAGTACATTACCTCGTAATCCGTTACAGTATTACAAATTAGGGCAATCACGGGGGAGCGTGAGTTTGGTCCGTCAAGCACACGAATCATGTCTGTTTTGTTCAAGCAACTATACATCACAAGTCAGAATGTCAGGTATGTATTATGCAATAATTCAGATTTACACACGTTCGTGCATATGTATGCATATAGCTACCAGGTTGAAAAAGTGGTTAAAAAATACCTATACACCGCTGCCTCCAAGGCCACCGATTCAAATACAACTTTCACCCTCTCATGTAATCTGTCGCGGAGAAGGATTTCAATTAATCATTAATTATAATAATAATTCATGGATGAAGCAATACGTCAACTATTTCACAATGGAGGTAAAGCTAAATCGGATATGCAACATTGCGAAACTTTTGGAGATTCTCAACTTTCTCCGTTCTCTTTGTGTTTTGTATTACACAACCAAGTTTTATCGGTACAGACTTTCATGCAAGAATAATACTCGTCATGGGCTTCCACTTGATAATTATAGAATTTGAAGGTTACAGGAAGTGACCTTCTTTAAAATTCGTACCTGGCACGAAACATGTAGGTACACATGACGTTATCTAGAGAATAAAAATTAGTATTTTTTAATAATTAAACATGGATGGGTAGAAGACAACCTACTACTTTCTTTTTGTGCTACTTGTTCTTACGTGGATAATTGGATGGATAATACGGCGAAAAGAATTTTCCTTCCGGCGATGAATAATTTCTACTTTCGAATTTGTAATCACATTTTGTTCCCGCTACCAATCGTCCGTTAGACTCGAACTGACCTAAAAAATGCAAAAAATCAAAACTTTTGATTATAATAAGCTACCCAAACGCAGGGCTTTTCTGATTAACAAAAAATGCTAACCATTCTTGTCATTTATTCATTTGGAGCATTTGGAGGATCGACTTTCCTTTGCGGTACATTAACTTCATACTTATACGTTGTCTCAGGCTCGCACAAGCCGGTCTTTCGTATATTAGATCATGTAGTGGCCACGAAACCATTTATTCAGACTTGAAATAAGCCAAGGTTGAGCCAGTCTCATTAATTAACACAGGTTTCGAGATTTCTTGTCAGATATCAAGTTATACAGCTTTCATCTGTCAGACTTCTCCACATTTCATTCCTTTCATTACGCATTATTTTTATGGTTTTAATAAGAATAACTTGAATGAGTTTGGATTTGGAGGTTCAACCGCGCGGCTTATACGAGGGCGTCGTAAAAGCCTGCGAGAAAGAGGAATGAGAGGGAGACGATAACTTTCCATTTGGCCTTGGCTCTGGCTACAAAAGAGGTTTGGGCAAGATTGTAACAAAGTAAGAATTCATCACTTGGTCAGATAAAACTAGAGTAGAAAAATGAGTCGTAATCCAAAAAGCTATTTTTTGGCAATGAAGAAAGAGGGAGGAAATGATGCTTAACGCAAAGTCGAGAAAGTTCTTCCCTGTTATGGAAGATATTAGTTTTTCATTTCCTCGTCGTATCTATAAAGCTGCCTCGCCTTAATATGTGTTGAAACGTATACGCTATACAATTAGGCCGGAAGGGTATATCTAAATGTGTGTTGGTGGGCACTTGCCAGTAATTATCTTGCGTGTTGAGACTATATTTATGTATATGCGTATGCATATACTGAATAATGGTATACTGGAACGATGCAACTTTTACCAATAAAGATGTTTGAAGCCATTATGGATAATGAGTCATTATTATCAGAGTAGGAACTTTTGTTATTTTGTGAAAAAATTATAATCCCAACACAACTGCAGGAAACCCAATCCAGGTTGAGCTTAATATTTGCAAACATTGTAAAATGGTGTCATATTTAACACAATTTTTTACGAAACGGTGTTTTTGCAGTACTGTACAACTTTTATAATCCAATCAGCACTAGATTATCTAGTAACAGACTTTCACTCTTAGGTCTGTTGTACCTGTTAATGATTATGGAATCACTGCACGTGCACCTTTTAACTTTGTGTAACACTGCACGTTCATCCCAAATTAAAATTCTGTTCCTCCACTCGAGCAAATTTCTTATTTCCTTCTGTTCCGGCTGAACAATTTTTCCAATTTTGAATCCATGTTAATCTAATCAGACCATGATCCTGTGTAAGTTCAGAGGGCAACTCGACTACCGGATGGATAACTTATATAAACTTTCTTTCTCGAGACAATGGCCATAAATTGGTTCTTTTTGTTGAAATAATCCACTTTTTGGATTTATGAGTACGTCAAACTCGTCAATCCTTCATTAATAACAGCAATTACTATAAAATGCGGAGGACATTATTGCCTCTGGGCAGGACTAAATTGCTGAAAGTTAAAAAGCCTTTCGTTCGTTCCTATCTGTGCGAGCCGACAAATTTTTCATGATCTAGATTTAGGAGAATAAACTGGGTCATCACTACTTTTATTCCCACTTGACTCAACCGTTGCCGATTCTATTTGTCCTCAAACGGGGAGTTTGGTAAGATTAGTTTGGCTGGGCACTTCTATCCATGGGCCTTATGTGATGACCCTGCATGGCTGGATTTGTCTTTTCTTGGTCGTCGTCTTCCTCCTCCTCTCTCTTACTCTTTGGTGCAGTGGAGTAGAGTAACGCTGTCAGCTCAGTAAATCAATAAGACCTATAAAATATCTTTCCTCGAGTTTAGAGAGTAATAAAGGAGATGAGATGGGACATAAATCACCAATGATTTCCATTTGTGAACATGATTTTACTAATATACAGTACGAGGTTCCCAAGTGGAAATTCTGTAAGGTTCATTATAAAGACTAGACGTACATGCCAACCAATTTTTGGCGCTACATTTCATGTCGGTTATAGACAGACTTTACCCAAAAAATCGCTTTTCATCAAATTTAAAAAAAATGAACGCATTATGAAAACACAATTCTACCTAAGTTGCAAAGTTTTATTCGTCCGAGCATAAAGTTCTGTTATTCTGCGAGACTCACTTGAATTAAGAAAGCGAAAAAATCCGTGAAAGCCTAGTGGTCCAGTAGACTTTCTAGATTCGGCGAAGGCGGATCCGGCTGCATGAAATTGAATTACGAGGTGTCTTCCTTTGGACCACACTGTAAGAAACAAAATATATAAGACTTTAAATATACCGAGATTCTAACCTATATTCATTTGCACATGTATATTCACTCGAATTGGTTGGAATGTTGGGATGTAAACAAATTAGTAAACATACTTAGGTACACAAAATTCACGCCCCTCAAGATTGAGGAAAATGACCCTCAACGAAAATCAAAGTACACCAAAAGACGATGTTACTTAAACTGTCACACTACGAGCCTACGACAGCCGTATTAATTAAGAAATATGACAAGAAGTTAAAATCTTTAGCAGTTGATAGGAGCAGTTATACATGTATAACCAACCATTATTAATACACTAGTACGGTGAAAGTCAAAGTGAGATGGCACCAACACGTCTTTATTTACACATGTAAAACACTATGCCAAAAGTTCTCAATTAATATTTAAAATACAACTTACAAGTAATGTTTGACCTTTCACCACATATTAAAGAATTCCATGGCGTGGATTCATTTACACCTTCGGAGTCGAGATGAAGGAAAAGCTTAAGATAGTCACCAGAATGACACCTGCAAAAAATAACATACAGAAGTGATTGATAAAAACAAGTCCAATAATGTGATAGACGAGCCACAAAGGACTAAGGATAATAAATACACGTATTTACAATCACATACGTACATAAGTAAATACATACATAGATACACGTTAGTATTACATGTGTATATACATACCTAGATCATCTGACATAAATTTTCTATACTTATCTGGGTCAAAATTGTCCACCAACTGTGAGTGGTATGTATGTATTATGGACTAGAGTTTATTTCCACAATGGAAGAAAGTGGTGGTAAATGGCAACCATTCGTCAAAAATTCATGGGGGATATCGTTCGAATATGGTCCTCGTGTGTGTGAATGACGTATCCATCCATGAACTGCATGCCGTAACTTTCTACTCGTTTTTGCCCACCATTCTTCTAACCCAGTAAACACTTTCAGCCTCTTTTTTAATCCACACTGTTCTATTTGTATCGCACTTGCTTTGCTTTTGAAAATGGAAATGTGGAGTGGGTAAGAGGTGAAACGCCTCCACCAGCGTCAACAACTACTTGAAATGGAAAGCCCGTCTTCACTTACGCAACCCGTGGACACAGCATGCATATTTCAAATTGACAGCACAAATTGACAGCATGATGACGCTAATCACATTTTGTAAAGTTTTCTAAGCAAGCGATATTTTGCTATGGTGCAAATTCAACTAACTCGTTCAGTTAGAAAGGAAATGGTGGAAATCATACTTATCATTCAGTCCTTATTTATTTGATGTGAATGCATTGGAAGCTGGAACAACTTACTTTTGACGCATGTAGGTATTTTAGGTAGGTATTACACTGATTAGTTGGCAAAGAGTAATGACATACCCATTTTGTGGTGCTGGGAGATTAATGTGGCTAAAGTTGAGTTGAACGATGTAGTCGACAGGGGCTGAAAAGAGGTACAGCATTACAAGATAAAAATGAGAGGGGATTAGAAATTGCCTAATTAATTTGATAGAGGAGAAGGGATTATAGATTATCGCCCGTACCTGAAAATAGGTAGAGGAGACAAGGAATTCCCCGTTGGGGGGAGGGGGCATGTTCCCCCGTTGCTTCATTTCCGCGTTGGTACTCTCCAGGAAAGTCTGGGCTAACAAATGCACCCCATTCCTTTCCAAATGTCGTCGCAAATCTGATGCACCGACAGCCTGGAAGAATTTCAAAATTATTGGATCGAATTGGAATTTGAAAATATTGAGTGAGTGAGTGAGTAGCATGTTTTCCTTTCGTTCCTTTACGTGTAATACTTTCCATACCCGTCGTCCTGTCCTAAGATTGAAGAGCATTGGAGAAAGTGATGAGTTCCTTGTCCATTATTCATGAACAAATGCCCAACAGCTCCAAAGTGAACCAGGAAAAAGTCTCACAACTTTCCACAATAAAATACTTTACCCCTTTTTTTACTTCCCATGCCACCTTGCAAAGTTATTTCCCAAAGTAAAGTTTCATATTTTCATTGCGAGATTGAAGAAGCTCAGCGTCCGGCAAGAACGTAAATGTACATATTTCTAACAAAAATTCTACACCAGTCCTTCACATTGTAAAAGTGCATGGAAAGTTGTAATAAAATAAGCCCATCTTTAAAGTAGTAATTGTACAAAGGCCAATATTTAAAGCAAACCCAAAAAAATGTAACAAGCCCAACTCAGCTTATTATGAAGTGCACCCATTTTACGTATAATGGAAAGGAAGTAGTAACAGGAATTTACGATTTGTATTAAGAATCCTTTACAGGACTTTGCAGGAATTATTTACAAGCAAACTCGTTCATGGGTAAATTGCTACATGCATTGAACGTTGCCTACCTACTACTAGGAACATGTCAGAGTTGACAGTTATTTTTTTCGTGGGTGCACATGATGGACCAATATCGTGGTATAATATTACAGCGTCGTTTGGACTAGTGACACGGCCTTTTAGGAAACCGAAGAAGCGGCGAGGTTTCGGATTTCATCCTTTTCGTGTGACAATCCACTTTCACCTCGCGTGCGTCTTGTCTCATCTTCGTCTCGTCCTTGTTTCTCACTCTCCAAAATCTCTTCATTTCGTGAGCTCTCCTGCTGCTGGAGAGGAATTCTCGGATTTCGCGTTGCCCTGCCTGCCTTGGTACACATTTCCAATTTGTTTGCTTCCCCCCTTTTGCCTGGTGTGTGGTAGGCTACTACTTCATGCATGAGCAACCGTTACGTGCTCCGTATTTGCCAATGAAGACACAACCGAAAATTGGGTTGATATATTTCTACCTACATCCATCCATACCTAGGACGACGTGCTCCTTCGCTGCTTGTTATTCCACTCCTTCTCAAAGTGAAAGGACGGCAGATGTTTTTCATAATTTTACAAATACTGAAAAGACAGCGTGAGAACTTCTTTTTCGAGATTCACTAAAGAAATAGTTTCGATGAGGGAAATATATACAGAGTGTTGAATTGAATGTAGAGCTGAATAGGCTTCGTTTATAGAAACAAGTTTGGGAATACAAATGCAGGAAGGACCTCTCAGAATTTACCATTTTCAGATATTGCTTACTCTTTCTTGTAGTCAACAATGGTGAAAGTGGTGGCGAATCGGTTGGGTGTATTTCAAAGAGTAAATGGACCGGTAATGTTTAGTTCGTGTTTCAATTTCTACAAGTTACAATGAGACTGAAAATAATTATTGGTTCAGTATTTGATTTCACTATGCCGAAAGTACTACCCGACAACTAAATAGTTGGCAACAATGGATGGAGGCGGGTACTCAATATTTTTTATTGTAGAGCTACCCGAATGCGGGATAAAGCTGGATTATTTGTAGAGAAAGTATGATGAAGGTGAAAGTAGGCAAAGTTATTGAATTTTTTCAGCTCAAGTATATTGTTTTCATTTCACGTGCGTTCATATAAGTACATATACCTAACTGCTAAAAACTCATTCCATAACATTTCAATATTTCCGTATCGATTCCACAGGATTTTTTAAAATACAAATTTGAAAGTTTTAAATTATCGAATCCTTTAGCTCCAAACTTTTCAGGTCATCCATTTACACATATTAAACATATCCAGTTCCTCATAAATAATATTTGTTTAACAAGGTCTGGACTTTCTAAAATAAATTATCGGATACTGTTGCAACGTACTTACTTTTCATACACGTTTGCCCCGAATTTCCTAGTTGATATATATTAATAGTCGTCTGTAAGTGGATTGCACAACTATGATATGAATTCGTAAAATCCGATACAACTACAAAAATACTTAGACGAGTTGATTCCACAACGAAGGTAGTTTTTTTCAACAAGTAAAAACGCAATATCTATCAGAAGCAATATGTTCAACTTTCGATATATGTATGTACATATACATACATGAACGAGTTCATATGTCAAGTACTATCCATATACAATTTATTATCGGAACCTTGGCTCTCCTGCAGTATTATGCATTGGAGCATGGGAGCCGTATAGTGTTGCCCAATAACATTTCATCATTCAAGAAAGTCAGAAGAAGAAAGGGAAAACTACTTAAAGTTGTAAGGAGCAACACATATGATATGAATGCAACGTTGTCAGTAATAACTTTGTACTTTGTTCTCGTCTAATGTAATGTCAGTCAGAAACTAAGCGCCTACAGCAATAGCAAGAAAGACTTTCTCCACTGTTCCCCGTCGGACTAGAAATGAACATTGTTCACTTTTTTTCTGGAAAAGATCCCAAAGGGAGCTCACTGGCTTTTGACTTTATCGTTTTCTTCCCAATGTGTATTTGCAGTTAGTCTTTGTAGTACGTAGCAGTAGGTCGTGGTGGATGTGCAGGGTAAGGATCGAGATGCGTGAGACGTGATGCAACTTTAAATAAATTCTTCATCTATCACCAAGCAAAAGGATGTTGTTGTACATAAAATGTGAACGATGTATTGCCAGTGGATGCATGTACATACGTAGGAATAAAACGGAGAAGGAGTTAATTTGTGTTGTGTCACTGGCTGTTGTTGTTCGATATTTTTATGGGTTTGCCTTGTTCTGGGGTGTAAATTGATGACATGGTTGATGGCCTAATCCAAACGCTTACACGTACAACAAAAGCTAAATTCTACAAAATCTTTTGACACAATAAAATTACGTTATTGCAGGACAATAAAATATCCAGAACCATGCACACGACAAAAGCAGTGAAAGGCCTGTCAACTCCAAAGATCAAGAATTGAACAAAAATAAAAGCACGTCTACAACAGTTGCTCACAAGTTGTACATGCTCTGCAGAAAATGTCTCAGATTATACAGATTCCTCTTTCATGTTGTTTATCCTACCTGGATTAATCGCATGACCGGTAAGGGAGGTCAGTGCTAAAATCACAAACACGGGCAATCCCCATAAAGTTCTTCCTTGATGTTTGGTTCTCAAATGGTGTCGTTTGTGCATCCATGACCCAGATTTTGCACTATTACTTATGGTTTCTTGAACACACTTCCTGTGATCTTTTAATTTTAAGTGTGTCGTAGATCCACCTCCACCAAGAGTGAAGGTGGTTCTCCAAGTTTTCCTCATGTCATGTCCTTCACAGCACGGGAAAAGCACTTCTCTGATGTACAGCTCTGTACTGCTCGTGGCAGACAGAGTAGCGTGAACCGGATTTCCCCTTAAAATCTGCTCGTTCACACTTTCACAATTTACACTTCCGTAATATTTTCAGTGTATGTAGCAGCAGCCAAACGGTCCAACTTCTGCTTTATCGTTATTATCTCTCTAACGATTATTGTTATGTGAGTTGTACTTTTTAGTTATGAACTTGTAAATGTTTTACTTCCTTTGTTCCCTGCAGTTGAAGACGGATTCCAATATGCTCCAGGCGAGGTCAGACCATGTGGGGCAAGTGGAGTTTAAACCTGGAAACATATATAAATAAGCATTGTATCATTATTATTGGCTCTAATATGTCGCTACTCAAGAACATCTAATTAAATCATTAATCCAAGTGTTTAATTTTCCCTTTCACATTATAATTCATTATATTGCTAAATTAATACAAATGTAGCAAATTCATGAATTTTTTACGACTGTCCATTAGCTTAGCTACTTAATTCTTACCCTTAATTATCCAATTGCTGTGCATGTTTAAAACATAAGTGATGCCAAATGCCAACCTATCCTACTCTTTCACATGTTTAATTTCTTAAATTACTGGATTTTCTGGTTCATTAACTCAAAGCTTTATATATTACTAGAAAGTTTGGCTGCAAACTCAACTACTAGTTGGAAATACAAATCTTGAGAGCTTGGCAATATCATTCAAAATAAATAAGCTTTACTAAATATATAAACTTTGATCTTTTAGGGCATTGGTTCAAATGGAGCTATTACATAATTCTAAAAATTACTGTCTGTCAGTCATCACAATATATTTTCAAAGTCCATCTCAATTGATTCCTTATACGTTATAATTTACTTTTACTTCACAGTTGCCAACTGACGCATAAAAATCCTGCAAAGTTGCAACAACAAGGGTCGTCCCATCATTTGAATTAAATCCCATTCCCGATGGATGCTTGTCTTCCTCCCCAATTGTCCTTACACTTTCTGGGTGGACAAAGTGAAAGTGGCTCGAGCCGTGCCAAACTGGGCTCCATCACATCACCAACAACCCACCCACCCACCAGCCAAACAATGTTTCACACACAGACGTATACTTTGTTGGTCTGGTGTGGGTTGAAACCATTACCATAAATTGGTAAAAGTTGTAGTCCCAGCGTTGGGGAGAAGCACTTAGGAATAGGATAATCTCACATACACATAAAAGTTACAAAACTTTTCCTTATCTTTCATCCATTTCTACGACGTAACTTTCTTTAATGGTTCCTTGGTGTGATCCCAATGCTATTGGCCACCACAAGCACTGCCGGTCCGTACAAATATTAGTACGTTTTTTTATAAATTTAACACAATTTTGCAAGCATGCAAATTGTTAAAAATACGGTGTGCATATGTGCCGAATAAAAAATGAAAGAAAATTGCACAAAAAGTATAAGAAGCCCATTAAGTATACATAATTACAGCTAGTGTGTGCTGAAAATTGCACTTTACTTAATCTGCTCTATCCACACGCCCAACCATCATATTCTAAACCAAGTGTTGTAAATATAAAATGATACCTGCTTTGCCCTGCGACACCCCAGTGACCTCGAGAACAAGGATGTCGAAAACATGTCAGATATGTCAATTTTAACAGATTTTCGAAGGGGAAAAACATATGACACAATGGTTACATGCATTGTAAAGGTTCCTTGGACTTGTGAAAGATGTAAATATAAGTGGAAGCCTTTGGAGGAGAAGAAGTGAAGCTAATAACCAATCAGTATAGACTCTTACTTACGCACCCTGCGTTTTATTTTAGGATTAGATGCATATTCGCAACATACCCCAGAAAGGTCACAGAAACTTTAATCGTCATGATTGCAATCTGAGATTACTAATTAATACGTTGGAAGTGGTAAAGTCTAACTTTGTTTTTCTTACAGGTTTATAGTAGATAGACTATCAGAGAGATAAACCTATCCTATGTATTCCATACTTAGGATTAGTTACTGGTGAGCAGGAAAAGTGAATAAAATAAAAGTTGATGAGACTTGGCTGCTTTCTCAGCTTGTTGGACGTTGGATACGAGCCAACTACAACTGCTGGATACCTATATGTTTGTACGTATATATGAGGAGAAAGTAAAGTGGTTACTACTTTATGTGACTTTGGTATTTCCGTAATCATTTCATTAAACAGCTTTAATCTCGGAAATCAAGTGGATAAATTAATAACTTCTGCTGAAAATGAAAACGACACGGCCAAATGAATGCATGCATTCTAAACCATTTTCGTATTTTACGCTTTAATCAAACCCGGAATTATCCCTTCTTTATCGAATTATTTTATTTTGGTGGACATTACATCGCATCGCCATGTATTAAATGTTTAGGGATGATAGTTAAATCGCTACACATAATCACGGCTACAGAACAAATTTATTACTTTTTCCCTATTCATGAGCAAGTGGAGGTTTCGACCAATGTGTACCGCTGTGTGTGCTTCGGCACGTTACGACCCATAAAAGCCGGTAGAATAATTCGGAAATTTCAATTTTAAAGAGACACAGAACGAGCACATAGGATTCCAGGTGAAACTCTCTGCACGCACAGAGGGAAGCGAAGACAGATTGGATCACTCTCAATTCCTTGAAAGGACTTTCATTTCATTTTATTGTGTTTTATTTTATGACACTCAGCGTCTCATATCCCTTTCTTTGACCTTTTTATATCGCCCACACGCTTCTGAAGACTTTCCACGAAAAATGAAAATTGTTTGGCTGTGAATAAATTGGTCATTCTAGCGCTCATAGAAAAAATCTCAAAGGCTAGAAAATTGAAATTGTAGGAAAGTAACCCCATTGACTCTATGGCTGCTTTTGTTGAGTGCTGTTATTTAACTGATCTTTTAGAGTTTTTCACATGCACGAGGATAACAATTCACTCGAATTTTCAATTTAGCCATTGTTAGACGTGAAATTAGTTTGCAAGAATAATCACTTGAGGTCTTATGTTTGAATAGGCAGGTAAAAAAATGTACATAGTCTGTTAAAAAAATTCACCTAGATTTACGCTCTTTGCAAACACATGCGTATAATTAAATATGTATAAATCTATATGCGTATGTATGTAATATGTAGAAGACCTGGTAATAATTATTAGCACCTATTCTGAGAATTTCTGTGACGATGAAAGGATTGTAACGACAAAAGGGATGTCTCAAAGTTGAGATGGTTAGCTTAGTTGAGTTGAAAATGAAGAGGAACGAGATTAATGCCCAGGTTAAGTTGAAAGACTTCCTTTTGAAATTTATAAAGATGACTCAAAGTGGATGGACATCTTCTTCATCTTGTCATGAAGCAGACTCGTCTTTTCTCGCATTGTGGCCAAAATAGAATAGAATTCTCTCAAAATCTGGTTGTGAGAGAGGGAGAGAGAAAGCGTCGGTGTGGCATGTGGTGCATGTAATAATGTAATACGTACGAACAAGAAAGAAAAGACAGCTCCCTTCCGTCAGGCTTGAATTACTTAAGTCGCTCATTTCTGCATGAGTTGGCTTACCATGGAATAATGGAGACTTTATACGTGCATGTTGAACGCATGGAATTCGCACGTTGTCAAATTGGTTTTTATTCAGGTCTTTAAATGGTAGATGAAGAAATGCATGGGAATTAAATCAGAAAAGGGTTCCATGTTTTGAATGGCTTCGTACATTCGCGCGTTTGGAAAAAATGTTAATTGGAAAACACTACAATGAAAACATTTTTTATAACTTTCTACCAAACAAGCATTTCTCTGTGATTGACAGTTTAAGACTTTGGTAAAAATTCTTACAAAAAATAAGATAAAAGAACCTCATTTGCATTGCAATCCAAAACACTTGAGCAATTAATCCCCAAGGCGGACGAAGTGAGATTTGGTAAGCAAATCAAGTAATAAAAGCACTTTTTTGCTGAATAAAATTGTGAAACAAGTCTGGGAATAAAAATAGCATGAATGATTATTATGTATTGTAACGGATTTTACCTGTCTGTGTTTATTTACCGGATTTTATTGATTTAGCCGAGAGAAACTTAAGTATGTTAATCATAAAACTGTGTATAGTGTTTTCAAATTCTTACTTTAATTTCAAAATCAAAACTCTTGAAGAAAATGTGCTTATCTGAATTTTGATTTTCTGCTGGCGACAAAATCGTCTCATTCATCGATGCGTTCAATCGACACGAGTTCAGAAGGGTAGATTTTGATATATATGACGCATTGTCAAGTCCAATGAGAATGAGACCCTAAGCCGGTGTTGAGCCTTTCTTAGACGCATAGTTGGCGGCTGGCGTTCTTTCGTCTAGCCCACATTGGTAGGTGTACGTACGTAGTTTCAATATATACATTTTATGAACCCAAGGGGATTAAAGCCCTTTGTGCAGCGGATTGGACTCACTCTCACTTTCTCTCACTAACAAAACCACCCAGGAAAAGGAAGCAAGTGACTGCAACACAACACACTCGCTTCCTTGATTATGTACCAATACCAGAGAGAGAAAGAGCTTAAAATCCTACAATTTCACTTTCTTGCATCATCGAACTTTCACCCACACTTTCAAAGAAAAGGGAACAAAGAAATCTTTGAAATATTTCCAGCTTAATACACCATATCCAAACACGCCTCCAGAGCGAGGATATGTACATACACGCGTAAATGTATGTGTATAAGTCCCTTTTTGTGCCTAATCAATAGCCCCAACATAAGAAGTAGAGTAGAATTCAGGTCACTAAAAAAGGCAAAAGTACACAGACTGCAGGTACGATTTTAATATTTAAGATGTTTGCTGAGCGGAAGAGAACCTACTCAAAATCTCATTAAATCATTTGGTAAGCACAATAAGTGCATCCTAGCAAACGTTTACATTTCCCAGTCGCCATACAATAACGGCTTGCCTTCCTTACCTTTATAATTGAAATGGCAACAAAAGGATCCGTCATAATAATTTCATAACCTTCTAAAATATCAAACCGCCATAAAACCTGCTACACACAATGGAAGATAATGTGGAGTGAAAGTCTCGAAGGGGTCATAATGGTAAACTGCGAATGAATGCGAATGCATCTACACCGTTACAAGGGCTTTCACTATTTATGTGTGATCACAAGTGAGATGCGAGTGGATATTCAAAATGCTAGGCAAAACATTGCACTATACAGTAAACGACCAAAGTTGTGCAGTTTGCATTCCATAAATTTTACGCTTTTCGAGATTTCAAGTTCGGACGATATGTTGAGAATTGCTCCCTGGGCTCAAAAATTTTGTGTATTGAAGG